CAACTTGATGCCTAAGCTGATATATTTTTTTAATATCAGGTTTAAATTTATAAACCTTAATATCTGTGGTGAGGTAACACTCTTGGCAGAAAGGCTTACAGTAATGTCTTTGTTTGCAATTTTGTGAGGCAACACTTTTTTCTCTTCTAGGATGAGATTGATGGCATCAAGGTGGACACTACCAGTGAAGCATTTGTATTTGAGTGTGCTGATGTTCAGAAAACCTTTGAATTTTAACTCATGACATTCCTATTGTATGTGTTTTAATTTAAATATTGAATAAAATAAATGGTTTGCAGTACAGTCCTTGTTGCAATAAGTACTTTTGACTGGTAAAATCAGCTGTACTGGAGACAAACTGTTAAGCGGAGGTATAAGTAAATTAATCTGTTTTCAGGGATGAGTCTGTGTCTTAAAAATCAAATCCTGCCACAATTGGAACCTTTTGGGAATGTACAGTCTATCACTGTTTAAAACTATTGCTACCATTAAAATCTACACAGGTTGGCCTTCACAATATTTAATCCAGCTCCATGCGTTCATCTGGTATCTTGACCTAGAAATGTATTAACAATCCAGGGTTTGTGGACAAAAGGGGAACGAAATGAACAAATAATTAAAATTATACTTGGCTAAAATTGAAGAGCTGATTAAATGGTAAGAATTACAATTGTAACTGATTCCACTGTTGGGGAGGCTGTCATTTGTGGTACTGTTGATCCACATTGCAACATGATATTTAACCTGACCTCATTAACAAAAACCTGTGAAACACAAAGGTTAAACAGCTCTTTATCCCCTAATGACCAAAGTTAATCAACTCTAAGCTAATGTAGCCTCATACATGGGAAACTGAGGGCCCTATAATGATTATTACCAAAGATGTTCAACACCAGTGAACATGCCTGACTTTATCTACACAGCTAGATTATACATGTATGTGGAAACTGGATATCTCCCACCATTATCTGTTAACTTGTACAGGCAGTACACTAAGTTAAATTATCTGCATGAATAATCTGTGCTGACTTATGAAGGGACTTCCAAACAATGGATGAGCTCATTTGGTTTCACATGTATTTCACCAGAGTGGCAACATCTTTGCTTTCAGTTTTCTGTGATGAAACTCTCACGTTTTCCACTTTAAGTTAAGACAAATGGATTTTCCTGCTTCCCAAAAAATTAATTAGATGTACATATTCAACACAACTGGTTTTGAAAATGGTTTTGCCAGCGGTCTATTCCTCTGGCTAGAGGATAAGTGTTGGTAGCTAAACCATCTGAAAGAGCAACAGAAATTAGTTAATTTGGAAGTTATGTAAAATCTGTTTAAATTGGGATACACCTGGGAACTGTTATCAAATGGAAAAGCGAGACTACATCATTCAAAAAAATTCCCCATAACTACAAAACATCTGTTTCAAGACATAAATGTTTTGTGCAGACCAGGAGACGTTTGACTTATGCCTCAACTTCCGTGGATCTGTCCCTGAGAACATTCAGCATTTTGTCTATAAGTGTTTTCCCTTAGACGCAGTTTCCAACTTGGGCAAGTAAAACCAAAACTATCTGCATGTACCATTTGAAAGTTTCTTTTTTTTGTAATTTGGGGGAACTGACCCCTCAACCCTGCAATTTCGATTTTTTTTTTTTAAGCTGATGAAATTGAGAGAAACCCATGCTGGTTTAGCAAAAGAATTCCAGGGAAACCCTTGATAACTACACGTGTGGAGATTTTGATTGACAGGGTGGCAGTTTTTACACCCTTACGTTGCCCTTTTACTATACACACCCACATCGGTTCAGATATAAGAAGACGAACTGGCATCACCCAGACCAAACCCCTCACTGAGTCTGTCGGTCACAGCACCTGCTGCACCATTATCTGGTAAGATCGATTACAATGATTATTTCTTATTTCACTTTTGCTTAAACCATAAGTAAGAATGTTCAAGGTTACTGTATGGGTTGTAATATTTTATTCTCAATTCAAATTCTATTGAACAATAGAAAATATATTACTCTAAGGGATTACTGTTCACTTACAGAAGGCCTTGTTATTTGTATCCTGTATGTGGACAAAAACTAAACCTGCTTGTTCTTTTTCTTAGGCTCTGCCAATCATGTTGATGTTTAACCTGTTGTCTATTGTCCTCTGCTGCCTCTGTATGAAGACAAGGTCACTGGATACAAAGATGGTAAATGTAGATACTTACAGTATACACACTATCATGAAAACTTTGGTATCTGAACCACTCTTAAAATGTATTTGAAAATAGAATAGTATACAATAGAGTGCATACTTCTGCTGACGCCTTTGTGACACTAATTACACTTAATCAATATTTTCATCTGTATCTGCACTAAACAAATATCAGTTCTCTAAACATGCCTGATTCTTCCATCAAGATCCATGAATTATTTGCTAACAAATCAACCTAAATGTTGAAAAATGGCATCTCCAAATGTTAAAAAAAAGAAAAATACATTTCCTGGCACTGCCTCAAAATGTAATGGGTTCTTCCCTGAACCATATCACATCCTTTCATCAAGTTCTATGGTGATACATCCAGTAGTTAATATGTTATCCTGCTAACTAACAAACACAGATGAAAAAAAACCTCTTGGGTAGAGGTAATGACTGGAGTTGATGTCTCTGACAAACCTGGTTTATATAGCATTAGAAAATTTAAATGCACTTAAACTACATGTCTTTTTTCTACAGTTGCCTGTTCAGACAATTGCCCCATCTTCAGCCCCAGAAGCTCCTGTAAAGGTTCAGAATGTCTCCACCCACACCATCTCCAATCCCTCACTAAAAGCCTCTGGAGCCTCAGGCCTGTCCAGCCTAAACAGAATCCCCTTGAGCTTGTCCCTGGAGTCTGTGGACGACATGTATTACAGCTGCACCCAAAAGATGCTCATCAAGGTGAAACGCCACTACCTGCCAAGGAGCACCAGAGAAGGTCTACACACTACACACACAAAACGTTGCGCCCTTAGAGCCATGAAGACCAAGGACATCTACGACCCTGTGTCCTGGGATCACTTCAGGGCACTATGTGCCTACACAGCAGGGTCCTATGATGACTTGAATCGAGCAGTCCGCAGGGGGAAGGCTTCCTACAAGAAGACGTTTGAATTCCATGCACTCCACTTTCTATTGTCGGACGCCATCCGGCTCCTGAAGCTCAACCAAAGGGGCTGCTACACCACCTACCGCAGGAGCAAACTACTCTACAGCGGGGAAGCTGGACAAACAATGCGCTTCGGCTCCTTTGCCTCCAGCTCCCTCAACAAGGACCTGCGCCAGTTTGGACAAAGGACCTGCTTTGAGATAAAGACATGTTTTGGCGCCTACCTCAAGTCCTATTCAGAGTTTGACTCGGACGAGGATGAAGTACTGATTCCTCCATATGAAATGTTCAATATAGTCGCTGTGGACACGTCAGGAGAGAATGTCTTGCAGTGTGATGTTTACTACAAACTTGAGACAGCAGGAATTTACAGCAGCCTCAACTGTCAGGCTCTGGACCTTTGACATGTGCAATTTCATCATTTATCAGTATAATTATGTCACCATGAGCCACCAGTCAACATGGTTATGCTTAATTGTGCTGATTTCATTTATTAAAACTTATTTAAAACACTTTTAAGACTTTGAGTTTATTCATGGCTTAAACATCAGAAGACAATCTTTTAAAAGGCACCATTTAGTTATCCAACTTTTGATATTCATGATTACGCTTCAATTGTAGATTAGAAGTTTAAGGACTTCTCATCCATTTTGGCATAACAGTTGAGAGAAAGCTGAAACTAACATTCACAATCATTTTACAAAAGATTAAGTATGACAAAAGTAACACTTTTGCAAAGGACATACAATTTGGTTTATTTGCCTTTTTGAACATGGATTGCCACAAGTTGGGAATTTGAAAGGGAGAAGTAAAACATGAGTATTAGTTTTAAATTTAAGGAACCACATTCCAAAAAGCTATTATTGGATTTATTTTGTAGACAAATTTACTTAATCATGAACTATAAGTATAAGTAATTATAAGCTGCTCACCTTTAAGTCCCTTAAAGTCTTTCTATTTCATAAAAATAGAAAAACCAATGAGTTCTCTTGAAAATTGACTTTTGGCTAAACACCTATAAAATAACTTACAAAAACAGCTCTACTCCACATAGTCTGTTGCTAGAACAAATGTCTCAAGTGATTCAATAAAAAAAAATCTGCCTGGCCAGGACAGAATATTTTATTTACAATAGATTTTGTAACCTATGAATGGACTTTTCTATAACTAAAATTATGTAAAAAAATTTTTTACAAAGATACAAACAAGTTTATTTCTAATCCAGTCTTGAATTATATATTGTGAAATCATCAAAATATCTCCTGAGCAAACAGCACTTCTTTATCTTCTCCACATGAATATCAGGACAATGAGCCTATTTCTTTACAGCTGAAACTGAACATTCATTCAGAGAAAGCATCTAAAATAGTCTATCACATGTCTGAACTATTTCCCAGCAACTTCAGACCACACTATGGTCTATGCACCAGTACATCTTTTGTCCTGGGATGGTTGACACCTCATTTGGAAGTTAGGGTACATGGAGCTCGGCAGAGGTCCATTATGGACTATTAAGCCACTATGACATATGCCTTATGACCTAATTCACTCCAGGTGAATAAGGCAGAGAATGAGAAATGATTTAGCCTTCAGCCTTGATATAACAATGAAGACATCAAAGCACGTTACTGAAATCTTTCAGGACATCTGGATCAGCCAGTTTTGGCCAATTAACCTTGTTGGAGTGGGTTTACTAGTTGTAGTTTGTGAGCTAGGCAGGCTTGTACCTGCTGAGAAGATCTCACGGCCAGAAGCAGCTCTGTGTGGTCAAACCATCCATAAATTTGGCGTTCAACTGTATTCTGACTGGTTATGGTGGCTAGAACCACCACTGAGTAACAATCATTTCACATAGAAATCACTGCCGGACAGTCATGTGTCAAACAGGAGAGTGATGTTGGCCCCTTGCATGTGATCAGGATGGAGCATTTTATTCAAGAGAAAGAAAAATAAATAAACTAGTGGAGGCAGAAGTGGTTTGTGAGAGGAACGGTTCCCCGCAAAGCACCAAAAATCATCTGTAACAGTCTCTGTGTGTGTGTGTGTGTGTGTGTGTGTGTGTGTGTCTACATCTTCTCGTAGGTGAGTTCATGTCCGCAGGTGGTGCAGCTCTTCTTGTAGAGGTCCTCCTCTGGATCCACCACCTCCTCTGGTCCATACTGGTGTTGGTGCACGCTGGTGTCTTTGGTCCACATGCTGCTCCTCACCGCCCGACGCAGCTCTGACACAAACACACACACAGTGATGTTAAAACAATGCACAGTGTAAGTGAGTTGGTATTTACGAGTTTTGTCTCAACCAGCAAACTGACCTTTGACCTTCTTGTTGAAGCGTCTTTGTTTCTGCACCTCTCTGTTCTCTTCTCTCGTTTCCCGGGCCTCCTCCAGAGCCTCCTCCGAACCCCACACCTCCATACATCTCTTCTCCACCTGGGGTGTACACATAAATACACACATCAGACTCACACTCATTGAGGCATAGATGGGGCAGGAAAGCCTCACTGAATGACTAGGGATTTGATTTTTGACTATTTAGTCAGAAGACTGGAACTGGAAATTAGTTGCAGCTAATCATTTCAGTTCTACTTTAGTTGGTCTTACAAACTTTCCATGTTTTTTTCAATATCAATGTTTTGTGACCTTAAAAGGACAAAATAAAGGACAAATTACATTAAAAGCTTTATTTCTCATGATTTGAAATGTATGATATTAAGAGTCTTACAAATTAGGCTGTGGATTGCTTAAGCTACATGTTGAAGAAAAATTCTTGGATCCGCCGCTTTGATTCCAACCAAAAACTGAATGGTTTCTTTCTTGGATCATGCCCCAAACCATCACAAAATGTCTACAATCAAGTGTTAATTAATGTGATTTAGCATAGTGTCTTATTTAGAGTAGTTACAATCTACCACATAACATTTAAGATCATAATGAACAAAGAGACTCAGGTTTCAGTCTCACACACAGACACACTGACATGCACACACAAAGTGCTGCACCTGTAGTTTGAGGTAGAGCTTCATGTCCCCCCAGGTTGAGTTGTGAGGGTTCTTCTTCAGTATAAACCTGAGCGGAGGCTCTCGCTTGTCCAGGTCACAGTCCTTCAGCAGGTAGTGCTGCTTGGCCTCAGTTCTGGAGATCAGTTTGTGCTTCTCCTCGTTGTCTCTAAAGAGAAAGATGCAGTTACTCAAAGACAAGAAGACAAAATGGCTCTATGAGTCTGGCCATGTGTGAGTTTCAGCATTTTGTTCATGACATGAAGTCTAATTTAAGATGAAATAGATTAAACTTTTTGAACGTCATTAATGGTGGAAATCCAGCACAGACACTGCTTTCTACATTTAGAAGTTTCTCAGAACAGAGGTGCTGCATCATCAGACTTACTGCACTTTAAGATATATGTTACATGCATAGGATTTTGTATTATGAGTGTTCAATTTAAAAATACTGTACATTGGTACTGCAGACTGGACACAGAAATCATCTGCTTAGTCCAGTAAAAGAATAATGATATAAAGTCTGACGATCCTACTTAATGGCATTTTATCCTGGAGATCTTCTTGATCTAATTTACTTTCAAGCTTTTTCTCAACTCAAGTGAGACAAGTTCAAATTATGTCAGTATGTAAAGTTTCACTTGCATTAAAGTGACAAAATGTTTACATTGTGCTGTTTCTTTACTTTGTACAAGTATCAGAAGAACATAAGCCAGTAATGCATAGACAAACGATTGTGCTATAAGATTAAAAACAACTAAAAAATAAAATAAAAAACTGCACAATACAAAAATCCAACTGTAATGATTGGAGAGATAAAACTACAATACTTGGAATTCATGCTCATTTTCAAACAAATGTCTGCAGTAACATGTGTGTGTGTGTGTGTGTGTGTGTGTGTGTGTGTGTGTGTGTGTGTGTGTGTGTGTGTGTGTTTACCTGCACTTGTCACACACAGTCAGGTCAAAGCTGTTACTGAGGTAGGAGTCCATAAAGGGTTTTTGACAGTCATCACACACCAGGTAGTCTGGTTCAATTACTGGAGCTGGAATTAAAACACACACCCATGAAGGTTTCCTCTCTCTCTCACACACTCCCTCTCTCTCTCACTCACTCACTCACACACTCACACACTCACACACACACACACACACACACACACACACACACACACACACACACACACACACACACCTGGCTGATGCACCACCTTCCTGGTCTTGTGCTCTTCCTCTCCGTCCCCCTCCTCCTCGATGAAGAAGCCGGCTCCGGAGTCGATGGTCTTGGAGACTTTGGCCGAGGTTGCGCCCTCCACCGCGGACAAAGGGCGGCTCGCTAGTCGGGCTTGCCGGAGCATCAGAGCTCTCTGCCGGTTCCTCTCGATTTTAGCCCGCATCGCTGCAGAGAGCTCGGGTTTAGGACTCTGCTCCGGGTCCTGAGCAGCAGCGACCTCTGACTCTGGAGGCTCCATGACGTCCACTCACACAGAGATCACAAAATGAGGATGAATGAAATGACTCCACAAACAATCACGTCCCATTCAAAGAGACGAGCTGTTGTTATGAAAGTGACAGCTGCACGTTTCCGGCTGCGTCTCTTCCTCTTTTTTTATTCTGAGCTTTTTAGACGCGTTACTGCCCCTAGAGGATTGTGATAGTAGAGCGCTATTCCCCAGTGTTTTATTTTCACATATAAATCTAATAATAGACGGATGCATCTGTCACTGGAAAATTCCATGTCTTCATAATAAAACAGTTCAATGCAGCTTTTATTTGTAATCTTCCAGCTTTGAATTTTCAAATGTATTTATATAATTCCATCCATATCATGTTTTTCAGGACCCATGGCACACACAAACATTAAAAAGAGAATACAAAAAAGAAGAAGTTTTCAAGGACAAGTGCATTAATCATAATGTGCAATCGAGTTAGTGGTAAATGATGAATAAGACCCAAATATCCCAAAACCTATTTGGGCCCCCTTTTGACATGCTGTATGGCTATGGCTTACTTGTGGCCCAGATCTGGCAAACAGGAGCGGACCACCCAAGTACCATTATGACCCATGGTATGTGATGTCATGGATGAGAGTGTTCGGTGTGGGCCAAAACCAGTTTAATATGTGGGAAAGATCCATTGAAGTATGCCATACACTTCTTTAAAATGAAGAGGAAGCTAGAAAGTCCTCTCTCTTAAAGGGATAGTTCACAGAAAAATGAACAATCACTCATTATCTACTCACCACTATACAGTCAAACCCAATACAATTGAGGTAATGGTGATCAATTTTTCAAACGTAATAAAATGACAGAAAAAAATACTGCATATAGTATAGTTCACTTTTGTGCGCACAGACCAGAAACACCGCACACAAGCTCTCGCCCAAGGGTTGAAACACTTTTCATTTAATTTTCATTTTTCAGTGAACTATCCCGTTAAGTGTCAATAGGAGTCAGTGATGGATGCAGCAATTATCCCAAACTGTTCCACATGTCAATCCAACTCATGCACAACTTTTGCTCCATTCGTTAGGTGTCGTTCGTTGGGTCTGTAGTCGATCACTAAAGGCTTTACTCTGAGTTCTTGTGGTATCTCTCTGGTCAGAACTTTCAGGGAGTTAAGGGTATCAAACCTCCAGGTTTTTATTTATTATTCTTCTCCATATGTGAAATTTTCATATAAGAAAGTGACTGACACAAACATTTAAGTGATGGACAGGTTTGTAGGATATTGCCGTAGATATTCCCATTGTAGTGGTTAGGTTGTGAGAACTGCTTCTATCAGATGGATGCTAATGTTAATGCTACTGTAATTTTATAGAAGCCACATGGACACTTCACACAATTCAGAGGGTGCAACTGAGATTGTTCAGATTGTTGCAGAGTGGAGTGATCATCCAGTGATCACAGGGTTTCTGGTTTGATCCCAGACTCCGCCAGAGAGTCTGTCAGCGAAACAATCAATCTCTAACTGCTGCATTAGTGTGTAAGTGGGTGAATGAGGAAAAGCACTTTCGATGCAGTCCATTTACCATTCATGAACATATTTACTTATTCTGAAGAAAAACTCTACACAACTAAAAATACAAGATATTGGCCAACTATCTGAAGAACTTACTCCCATGACCTCCATCATTTCTGAGAACGTCTACAACCAGGTCACAAGACATCAACCTCTGACCAAGATCTAAAGTCATGCATACCAGGCGAGGTTAGTATGGACTCTTCTCATGCCCACTGGAAATGTGGACCCATTTGATGGCTGTAAACATCTCTAGCATGTTTGCTGGCAGACACTTACATGTACATTGAGTGAGTGTCATAAGATGGTAGTGAACATAAATGTGGAGACAAAGCAGACAGGTGAGTGCGTCCTTCATTCGTTGTCCCCAAGTGTCCTGTGAATCCCTGTTGCATCACGCTGATCATGGCAGAGAGCAACACATGCTGCTTTAAGAGGCTTGTGTCAAAGAACAGCAGATCGCATCCTGATAGATGACACTGCAGATTTGATCGCTGCCGAGGAAGCTTGAATGTGAAGTATATTTAAAATCGTGTATATATACAATCAAAGAATTGCCAAATTATATCAATGATACAGTTTTCTTTTCTGTTCCTGTCAGTCACACTCATTCTGTTTCCCGACCATTAACCCAAAACACCAGTGGTGAAAATTTGAGTTTGGTTTATTTGATTATATAACACTTTATACACAGTTGAACGATATATGTTTAGTACAGCATAATACATGATTCAAGTAGAACATGAATATGATTCCATGTTTTCATATGGTGTATAGGAAATACAAAAGCATTTTACCATTTGTCAAGGTATCCAAACTGGCTGAGGATGAATTCTTATGGATATTTCCTAAAAGCATTCATTCATACATTCATTTCTCACATTCAAATGATGCATCAAAACAAGAATGATTTAGAAATGATACTGCATAGACAGGCTAAATAAGAAGATGGATAATTGTGCTTGGCTTTGAAGTCTACCATCTGACATCACTACATACTGGAGCTTATGTAGTTTTTGCATTACACTTTACAAATCTTTTATACATACATTTTATGATTGTGAAATTCAGGATAGTTTTATGGACAGACATTTATAAACATATTCATTTGGACAAAATATATTGCAATTTATTAAAACATAAACATTTAAAAGAATAGTTGGATTAGCATAATGACACAATATGATTGTATTTCCCTCTGTAGTATAACTGATGAAAGAGGCTTAGATCAAGATTATCTAAAAGGAAATATGTCCATGTTAAAAAGAAAACACTAATTCAATGCAAATGAATACCCGAGTAAAGCTGAGGGTTTCCATTCTGTATGTTAACTGTTCCCATAAGGTTAGCATACATGATATCCTAGGAAAAGTTAGCTAACCTTTGCTAGCTGAACACCAGCTTTCGCATTCATCTATCTTCTATGATTTTTCGAGGTTGCACTGAAACAATTGAACATTTCCTAACTTTACAGTAAAAAAAGCACAGGAGGATGTTATGTGGCAAGTATACAAGAACTTCAGCATTTTTCCAAAAGGGAAAAAAAATTGTTCCCCTCATTTTGCTCCATTTAGTTGACAAAGTAAGAATGTGACAGAAGCAAAAGCAATCATAAATTCACGTCTTTTAAAATACTAGGCAAACCAAAGCTTGAACTTTTCAAACTTATGCTGTCAACTGATCATCAGCAGGTCACTTTTTTTTATTCACACTGTTTGAGATGATCAGGATGGTGAAATAAATGTTTCATGGCCTGTTGTAACTTGTAAGAGGACAGTCAGACAGTTCAGCTTTTGGTGCAACTGTAATGTTAATGTAGACATTTGGTTTGTTGACAAGTCCCTATTATCTCTTTTTCACATCACAAGTATGTTTCATTCCACCTCTTTTTACAGGCAGTGTGGCTCACTAAAGAAAATAGAATGGGAATCTATTTTAATCTGAAAATCAAATGACATAAGATTCTCGATATCTGGGATAGATGCAATAACAGAAACACATTTTTTGACTTTTAGACGTCTTTATTCTTAGTTTGTTTAATATTTTTGCAGCCTCTTAAGAATTGTTGAGTCACACACTTTCAATTTTTGAAAAGTACTGCAACATTTGAATGGAAATACTGTTTACTCATTCATAATTTTCTACTACAGAAAAACCCTCCAGATGCATTTTGTTCAGTGTTATTATTAGTTTACCAAATCTAACAGAAAGGAATTAAAGGAAAACAAAGTTTGTGCCAAATTACTCAAGTGTCACAATCCCTTCAGCAGTGTTTCATTTTAGAATAATTATATGGGCCTACTTGACATTGATTATAACAATTTTAGTCTAAGATTTCCCACTGTATATCATAAAGCGAACACAAGAAAGTAATGTGAGACTGTAGCGGTGACAGCCACACATTAGGCCTTTTAGATTTGAAGTAAAAAGGCCTACAGCAGTGGAAAAATGTCCAAGACAAAAATATAGTTGTCATTTTCATTTATATAAATGGAAATGATAGCAATATTTTATTTGTGTATATATATATACATATGTAATTATATTCATATGTATATATATATATGTTTAATACAGTACATGGCATGAGTTTTAGATGAAAACATCACAAAAACCTGGTGATACCTGTTGATTTTGAACACTCCTTATATAAACACATACATTCAAAAAAAAGAAAGAAAGGAAAATACAACAGAGAACACTAATCTTTACTCCACCATTTGTTATCCTGACTGCATCCCATCCCTTACTGGGATGCAGATGTGGAGATGAATGCTTTTTTTCCACTAGGGGCATTTCCATGCACCGAAATTGTCTGATTTTGGTCCCGATAATGAAGTTATCTCTTATCTCTCGCCCTAAAGTGGTGCATGTAAAGGCAGACAGAAAAAAGACAGAGCTGAAAAAGTCACATTTATAAGCTTATGAATATGAAACCCCAAATGAGATAATTTGGATATTAGTATTGAACATTGAACACCTTAGCCAATTTAGTCCATGCTATCAGTGTACACTCTAATGTAACTACCTAGTATTTAATGTGTTGTATTATACATCTGGATGAATTGGAAATAAAGTAAAAATGTCTGCCACATATGCCCTGAAATGCAAAACACTCAAATCATCAATGCTGAATATTTCTCTTTTGATAACATTGCAAACCCATATACATATGTTGGAAGGGACACAGTTAAATATAAAGGTCTGTTAAGCAGCTTTCACATTTCCCCAGTTTGTCATATGGAATCTCTCCAAACCTCCACGAACAAACCAAAAAGTCTCTTGTAAGCCCCCAAAATCAGTTTATATGCTCACCATGGCTGCTAGCATGAGTGGGGAGGTACTTCTTACATTACCACACAGTCCTTTGGTTTAAAAACAAATAAAAGTAATATATATATATATATATATCTGATGCTCTTTGATTAAAATTTCCATCCTGGGTGTTGTTCAAATCACTCGTCTGTCCAGACATAGCTACTGAATGTAGTCACATGGTACAAGAGGCTCTCCTATTGGGTGGCAGAAGTCCATTAACAAAGGACTGGTTTCTCTGACACTCCTGGAAGGTTGTGATGCACCAGTTCTGAAACACTGGAAACAACCTGTGCGTGTTTGCTTCATGTGTGTGTTTGTGTGTGTGTATGTGTATCCAGTCTTCTACTGTGTGTATATGTGAGACTGACAGGAGTTTCAGTCCATAAATGTTGGTGCACATGAGAATATCTCTGTTTGATTTCAGCTTTTCTGAGACTCAGTGGCTCCCTCAGATGGTGATAGGACAGGTGATGACCTTGTCCTCCAGCATGACACTGACGATGAGGAACACGAAGTAGAGCAGGAACATGAGAAGGCCCAGGATCTTGCTCATTCTCCACTTGCAAGCCGCGATGGAGATGATGACGAAGAGGAGCATGAGGAAGAGGAGGACGATGGCGCAGAACAAGCCGTTGCTGCTCACCTCTACTGGCTTGAAGTCGTTGATGATGTTGTAGATGAGCCAGGGGAATGGCAGGCTGGAGGGAGGATGAAGCACAAACAGAAAAGAGTTATTTCAGGTGAGGGGGTGCTCTTGTTTATAAATGGATATTAAACTTAATACACAGTTCTTGAAGTTGATGTTTTCCTTTACCCCACAGTGATGTCAAAGATGTTGGAGCCCACAGAGCTAGACACGGCCATGTCCCCGAGGCCTTTTCTCGCCACAATTACACTGGTGATCAGGTCGGGGATTGAAGTGCCAGCTGCTAATATGGTCAGACCCATGATCTCCTCTGTGATCCAGAACGTTTCTCCAACCTGAGGGCAGGAATACATCGCCTCATGTTGCAGCTGAACAGTTTTGAAACTTCATGAAGCCAGAAAGCCACCATCGTGACTTTTGTAACCATGGCTATTAAGGTATTAACATCTTTGCTACACCTGTAATGAGTGCTGTGATGTAGCCATTTGATTTGTTACTCTTTCAGTTTGCATTTTTTTCTACCAAAGAGTCATTATAATGTGGATTAGAAATGACCAAGAAAATATTTCCAGACACTTCCTCAGTGACCTTGCACACATAACCCCCTGCCTTAGTCCCACGCTGTTAAAATAGAGCGTTACAGGTTGATCTGGCTGTGGCTCAAGGCAGATTAGTCGGGATTAGCTGTCGTGGTCACACATTCAACACCCTGACTGCTGCACTCTGATAAGCAGAGCAGCTTCAGAAGCAGAGTGATAAAGAAGAATGCACGATAGTTCATGTTAATTTGACAAATAACGATAGAGATTAAAAGCACAGTTATTGTTGAAGTGCAGATTTCACAGATATCTGTGGAATTGTGTTGCATGTGTGTGTGTGTGTAATGTACCTGGTGAGCCCACCACACCATCAGGTAGGAGAAGAACGCAATCCAAGAAATTGAGCCGATGAAAGTGACGGGGAAGAACTTCGCTGAGCTCTAAAAATAAATAAATAATTATCGTACACACGTAAAGCAGTACCTTATTTCACAGTGTGTTTAAATAACAATACATAGCTCTACGTGTGTTTGTCATAGGTTTGTGTGCATTTGTGTTTGTGTGTGGGGTGGGGGGGGGGTGTCACCTCTCTCCTGACATCGGGCAGTGTGAGCCACAGTGGAAATACAATGGGCAGGATACAAACGTAAGTGAGTCTTTTCCTGTTAGTATCAGGCCAGGCCAGACTCAGGGGCTGGTCTTCATCTTCCTCTTCCTCACCACCCTGAAGAAGAGTTCTTGAATTATACCGTACATATCCAGACATGCTCATTTTAATTGACATTAATGCTATGGCTGTGTACAATGACTTCAGGGGTCATATTTAGTTGTGTTTTTTTATGTAGTTGCTTTAAAAAATAAATGATTTAAAATGGTGGTAAACATGAATTTAGAAAAACGCAGACAGACAAACACCATACCTCCTCCCCTCCTGCAACACCGTTCATTGGTGGCGTCACTTCCACTGCGACGTTTGAACTGTTGGGGATGTTTTTATCAGCTTGGGGAAAGGGAAAGAAGACAGGGTCACTCTCAAGAGAACAGTGTCAAGCTGACATAAAAATGGTCATCTGATGAAATTGATAGAAAAGCTCATTACAATTTGCACTTCTTGAAGCTTGCGCCTGGGGGAGGACTCCTATGTTGAGAAACACAATGTTTTTGTTATAATACCAACCCATCCTCACACATGTAACATCATATTGAAGCCCTTTTATGCCATATGAAAACTCATTTGCTGCCATATTGACAAATGTCTGGTAAGCCTCAGATCATTGGGTTTGATAAATCAAACAAATAAGTGAACAAACAATAAATATAAAATAAAAATAACTACTATCTGACTTCACAGAAAGTCCCTGCTTTAGTGGTCACTCACTTTTGATTGTAAAATACCACCTGATTTCATGACTTATCAAAAATCTATATTTATATAATAATGTTCAAATAAAAAGTTCAAATTTCAGCCAGCATCTATGGCATCTGGGAAATAAACATTTTAAATTGAGTAAAGCAACAAATAAATAAATACTTAAGAGTATCTTCAGCTGTGTCTCACAGTTTTATGATTTAATGACTTTCTGCAAACTACCCAATGTCCACCCCTCAATCACATAGTCATTCCAATAGCCACAGTTCTTAAAGCTCTTAATGATTTGATAATTGATTTGTCACTTGATTTATCAGTTGATTATTTCATGAGACAAATGGGCTGACAAGTCATCACTGATACCCACCTACACCGTTGGCATTGACAGCGTCGTCTTTACACTTCTGCTTCGCCATTTTGTGAAGAATCGACGCCTTCTCTTTGAAATGTCCTGAAAAGGAGGAAATGGCACATTTCGTAGTCCAGTCTACCTGACAGACATATATTTAAATATTCATGTGGAAAGTGACCCAACCATTAACCCCAAATTAAGCTTTAGCTACGAAGATAGATGTGAAATTTGTCATGTTGTCTTATTCTAAATGTATGGATTTAATGATTACAAAATGTACACAGTGTGACAGAGTATCACATCTTGTATTAGTGATCTTTATGTAGGTATTTGGGTGTATTTGTTGTGCGTTGAGTTTTTTCTTACCCATACCTTCATCACTGAGCGGATCGAGGGTGTGTATCATGAGCTGGAAGATACTGTTTCTCATCAGAGAGTTGTGTAGAGAAGCACAGCTCCCCTCTCTCTGCAGCCGAGGCTTTGCCTATTGGAGCACAAACACCGAAACAAATATGAATATGTACTTATTCCATATCTTGTCATCAAGTACATTTAGTTTATTCATTTATGAAACTCACGATACTTCTCCACTCAATCACAACTCTCTATCTAAACTGGTGCAGTTTCATACAGAAGTATATTTTAAATATAATGACAAGACAAACTCACCATCAGCTTGTTCTCATCATCTGCAGGTGCACTCACCTAAAGGGGAAAACAGAAAAAAAAACACAAGATGTTGTATATACAGTATAAGTTATCTTAAACAGTAATATACAAACACAAGTTGTGGACACAGTGATGCAAACACATGAGCTATATACAATCCAATCTTTTTGAATTGCAATAAATGCCCCTTTCTGTCTCCAGTTTTTTCACTTTGTGTTGCTGTTGATTGCGCCACTACAATGTCAGGGTGTGACGAGGGTAAGTGAAATAATCAGTGGATACAGATACAAAAAAGTTCCAGATGGATCACAACAAAACTGAAATTAAAATTTAAAAACATTTGAGGTAAACTCACATGAGCACTTAAAGCAATGATCCAGAGTTTGATTGATTGTTTCCAATGATCAATAATCAAGGAAAAATTTGGGTTATCCACTCACTCAGAAATATGGTCAATCTTAAGGAAACTTCAAACCAGGAGGAACAGAGACTGAATAAGGGTCTGATTCTGAGTTTGATATAGTGTACAGCACTGGCATATTTTCATGTTTTCATTTTGTATGTGTAATTTCAATAATATGTTTTTTTCTACTCGATAAGTATGCTGACAGCACAGAGAGGTGGGTCGGAACAGGCTCAAGTGCCACAATATGATACAAAAAATGCGGACAACACCTTCAAGAACTGATTTAAAATGTCCAAAATTCTCTTTTACCAAGAATATACTAATTTACATTTATCACACGTGCACTGTTCATGCCTCTGAACATCATTGTCTCCTCCTTCTTTACTCCAGAGCCAGCCTACACACACACACACACACACACACACACACACACTCTTGTACTACTATGTCAGTGAGGATACTATAGCCCCTTACCCTAACCTAAAACCAATTCTAACCCTAACTTTAAAACCAAGTCCAAACACGCCCTTGAAAAAAGTGAGAATCTGCAAAATGTCCTCACTTTCCAAAATGTCCACACAGACACAGACACACACACACACACACACTTACACACAAACACACACACACACACACACACACACACACACACACGCACACACACACACACGCACATACACACACACACACACACACACAGTGTCAAATAGAGATTGAGATGTGTGTGTAAAAATAAAACACAGATGTGGTGATGTCAGCAGTGGGGGAGGATTAGGAATCAGGGATGAGGAGAGGTTCAAGAGAACAGGTAGGGATGTGACGTTTTGTGTGTAGATGTTGTGTTTGGGTAAATTTACAAACAAAAAGATTAAAATCATTCAAATTAATTGATTGTCGAGGTTTGCTCAAAACTTCAAAGTTACATTAATGGGGCTTTTTATGTAAATGTTTCAAACTATATATAATTTTGTAGTGCTGATACAATAGTCCACTCAAACCACACAAACTATCACTGAGAGGGAAAACTCTTACATTTATGTTTCGAAAGTGTGTAGAAAAGTTTTCTCCAAAAAAAAGGAAATGTAGCCAAGCATCAAAAATCACAACACAAGTTTCAAACCTCATGTTAACCCCAAGATGATTGGCAGGTATTTGAATAAACAAACCCAAGGTATTTGTTAAATTTAGTGTAAGGATATGTCAAACAGCATAACAAGACAGCCCTGCAGTAATGTTCTTGTACCAGATATTAACAATTTTATAACAGATTTTAATTTAATACTGGTCAGTGTCCACTTCCATTCAGTCACTTTTGATTAAATCAATAATCAGACTTTTTAATATTCAACGGTTCAGGAGGATGTTTTCATGGTTTTGCAATTCTCAGTGCAAGTAAGGAAATGAAATGAATTACATTCTAGAGCAAATAACAAATGAACAGAACAGTCATTATTTGTGTTTGCTACTTAACATCTGTCCACGTTCCTCCTGACTAGTCTGGTTTATATGGACATAAACTCACTTACTATCTCACTCAGCACCACACCAGTGCACTTATTTCATTTTCATTGAGCCGAACACTGTATGCATTTTCTGAGACTTGAAAAAGACAGAGAAGTGTAAAAAAGCTATTTACGTGAAATGTCAGATCATTGAGTAAAGAGCAGTAGTCACTCTTTTGCCAGAGGTCAGATTTGCTTGCGTGCCTCTTCCTTAATGAGTTATCTTGCACAAACAATTACATCACAGCTGAGGTAACTATTCCTTCTCTACATCCCTAGTTCTTATTACCAAGCCCCAACCTCCTACAAAGACACTTGAAAGCCAAACACAGAAGCACAAACCCCTCTGTGCTGTAGGTGGGTAACCAGCAGCTGAGAGGTGGAGGGCTTTGTTGTTGACACATTTCCATGATGGAGGCCTCAGTGTTGCAGGAGATAATCACTTTAGCCTGCTGCTGATAAGACAGCTGCTGCTGTTATGGCAGCTGAAGACTGGGACTAAAGCCTGGGTCGTCTTTTTGTTTTCAAAGGGCCGTCACTTGTTACGTTTCTTTCCAGTCCAGACATGTTTGAGTGGGTTTTTGCAGCAGGTGCTTGAAGATCCCCGTGCTGCAGATTTCTGAAGGGGATGTCGTGATTTAAGTTGAGAGATTCAATCAAATGAGGATATAACAGGATAATTTAGTGTGGAAAATGTTTGACTACCATTCTGCAGACAAAGAGGATTTCCATTCTCTGTTTTATATAAAATATGTGAGATTTTCTAGAAAGAAAAACATGTTGATGAGAGGAAACAGAGGCAGTGGACTCTGTGTCTATTTAGTCGATGTGATTATTGAGCTTCCTGGCCTCAGGTGTCATAACCGAGGGCAGCTTGGCATTAGCTCATGTTGTCTTAACACTCACATGGCTCCGTACAAAAGGAAGAAGTTGCTGGGACTTAAACCTGAAATTAATGATCATCCCATTATTTACTGCAGCTCTCAGTTCGTCTGCTCTTCTCAGGGTTATGGCCTGAACCACCGATAACTATCACCAAATATCAAGTATAACATGTTCTCATGAACAACTGCTGAAGGTACCATGACCTGGTGATTGGTCACGGATATTATTTGCTTGTCATGTCACCAGGTTCCAGCAACAGAATCAAAAGACATAGAACTACCTAGTAACTGCTGAAGCAGCAGAAACATAAAGACAACTGTTACAGAACTTGATAATCTGCAGTTTAACTTGTGTAGAACATCAGGTAGTTTACAGCACTCTTTATTTAGGAAGGAATAGTAAAATAGAGGGTAGATTGGATTATCTTCATTATAGACAGAAAATCCAAACATGTATATGTGTGTATACAAACTGCATCTGTCATAAAGCCACATCCCGTCATTCATATCCTTTCTACGTTTGATGCCTTTTTTAAATGTTTTTTTAGAGAATAAATAAGTTCAGCTCCACAATTTTGGTAAATAATATTGCCCAAATTATTTTTCAATGGTTGAAACTGTAAGAATTGCATTTTTATTGAATAAAAGAATAAACATGGGTAATTTCCATGTTTAACTGCTGCAAATTATGAAGCTAAATATTTACATTTAGTTTTTTAAAGTAGTTTTTTACATTTAAAACGTTCTCTTTGGAGTAAATGTGGATTAAATGCATGCAAATAAAAAAAATAAAGCATCAAAATCTGTTTTAGCAAGTAAAATGATTTTTAACTTCATTAATACAAAGTTTGAAGATGATCAGAAGAAGAAAGAGGAAATGATTTGTCGCTGCTCTGCGTCAGTTTTCTCGGCCCTCGGTTGAGTCGAGAAGGTAAAGAAACGGGATAAAAGCTTTACATTCCATGTTCCCTTTATCACAGTTATCATCATCACCGCTGTCAACACAGAAGCAACAATCACCTGCACAAAATTCAAACACATGCAAGTTTCCTCTCTCTCCCTCTCTCCAGCGTCCACCTGACTGTTCAGCTGTGGGACTTAGCAAGGATTAATCGGCAGAGATCACCGCTTTTAGACTGTTTTTTTTCCAGCCTGCGTGTGAAGTCCTGCAGCAATTTTCACAGGTCACTGCTCTGTCCAACAAACACTATCACACTCATCTGTCATCGGATATTGTCACCAAAACTATTTCTCATCGTAACTCAAATTTCCTCAACAAGTTCCACTGCACTTAATACGGAATAATCAATAATTAGAGATACTGTAGTTGATCAAGTGGGAAAGAAACCGTTTGCTTCCTTGCACAGATTGCTGTTAAAAAAATGCATCAAGTGTACGGCTGAACTCATGAATATCAAACATCCTCAAAACTATAACTACCAACCACTTAAACCAGATCATTCCTCCTTTTCTCTGCATTCACTCATTTCCAGACTGCCACAGTGCAACATTTCATGCATTGTCATCCATGCAGGGTAGAAATTGATGATTGTAACAAGAATATGAACATTTTGTTTGCAGCGGAGAATAGCCTCTGTGTTCTGGACTCTGTGTTTGCTTTCGTCACTGCAGGTAAGCAGTTGTTAAGGGGATCAGAGAGGATTGGCATCTTTAGTGCCATCAGCAAGCAAACCAGCAGATCTTCTCTCTCCCCTCTCCTACAGAGACACTGTATATGCAACACACTGTTTTGCACATAAATCTGCAAAACCTCCTGAAACATCCCTCAATTATGCACAAAAGCCACATAACGAGCACAACTACAGGCTGAACAAAGGAGCATCCGACCATTTCTTCCCTGTGATCTGCTGATTCCTGCTCCCCCAAGGAGCATCTGACTATAATTAGCGACTCTAATGGGATTAGAGGGCATTAACCTGAGGGATTATTGAGGAGCTACCAACACATGAGGGCAAGGGGGTTGGACATCAAGTGCCGGACGACAAAAATGGAAAAGCTGCCCTTGTGTTGAAGTGAGGCAGCCATGGAGTTCAGCTGATTCCCAAACAGGCACAAACAGCAAACAGAGCTCCTGATACTGATAGAGGGTTGATCAGCACATAACTGTATCATGGCTCACAGGGTTAATAGGAAAAGTGACAATTTAAAAAATTCAGATGATGCACTTGAGGTCTGGAAAAATAAAACTTGTTATTATCAATAAATCATCATAAATGATTGGATTGCGATGATAATGGAAGAAAGTGGGAAGGACTAAATGATCTAACAATCTACAATTAGGGGAAAATGGAAAAGGGGATTTACATATCATTGTTATACATAAGTGACTGTGATGCAGAAGCATAAAAACTAATAACTCTAAAGCTCTAAATAAAAGCAAGTCATGTTTTCTTTCTCTTGTTTAAAGTGATCAGTTAAAGGGAGGAACGACAATGCAGATATGCAGGTTCATCTGAAAACAGGACTTCTACTGGTCTGAATCACTACCTTAAAAATAATTTCATCCTTCTGTTATGTGCTTTCATCCCCTATTGTATAATAAAAGTTTATTCTGTCTTATTTTGTAGCCTTGTAATTATCTAAATGTTAATATTAATGTGGAAAATAAAAGGTAGCACTGCACTGCATACGCCCCCCCCCCCCTGACGAACTGGTGATGGGTGACGCTCATCTAAACTACAGGCAAACTGCTCTAAAATCAGCCTACTGTACAGTTTTTGTCACCTGAGAGCCGTACGAGATTACAACATCAGAGAGCAACAGATCTGACTCCAACTGCATACACAAGACAGGACATACAACAGACGGAGAGACAAAATGTGAGTTGAACCATGTGAATCACATCATCAGTCCCCAGCCCCGTTTCTAAATCCAGCCTCGAGCTAATCTCAAAATTATAGCTTCCCGTCATCTTCTGCCTGCAGACACGAAGTGATTGGTTTCGTGATTGTGAGGTGATTAGTATTTTGTAAGTGTGTTCTCATCAGGTCCTCTGAGTGTGAGTCATGCTCTGCAGGAGCTAAAGAGAAAGAACAAACAGCAAATTATGGATGTTTTGGATTATTAAAATTCAAAATAGTTCAATATGTCTGTTTCCTGGGCACAGAGGCTCATTTGATCTGTGTGTATTGATCTGACATAGAGGACACAACACTCAGAGCTGCAGCCTTCCTCCACAGTCAGAGGACCCTGCCCACTTTACCCAATGTCATCACAAAGACGAGGGCAGCAAAAGGAGGAAGCAGACGGTGACGAGACACCAACAGATGCTACGTGGGTTTTTTTCTATTAAAACAAATGTTATTTGCTTCTATCTTTGCTTTTAGTTTCCATTGGATAGAATCCATCTCAACTCTCTCTGCAATAAACAATGTGTAGGTTTCAAGATTATCAACTTCACGTCAGGATTCACTTTGACCAGAAAACAATAACTGTATCTGCAAAAATAATAATTCAATAAATGTCTCAATGTACCACTGTGATTGTAATATTGTAAAAAGATAACAGATTTGATCCCAACATGTAAATCAAAGCAATGTAAGACTATTAAAAAAATTAAGAAAAAAAGTCTGTCGGCAAAAGTTGTAAAACACTTGACATCAAATTAAAATAAATTATTAGCTATTCTACAGAGTTTTTTAACTGTATTTTTTGTATCTGTATTTTTTCCTCTCAGAGAGCAGATACAGCTCGTTGTAAAATGTTTGGTATTAAGTGTGACCATATAGAATCACAAGCATCATGCTAATTTAGACACTTTTCAAAGTAATCAACACATCAAATGTATTCTTATGAAAAATATCTCTGCATATTATTCCTGCTGAAGAGGTCATTTCAGTGACCTGCTGCGTTACATCAGTCCTATTCTGAGAGACTTTGCTCAAGATGACTGAAGATCAGGTCTGCTCCTGGACTTAGTCAGCATGAAGACACTGAAGTCTGGCTCTGCATGAGCTGCACAGGTGGCAGGTTAAGACAAATCTTTATAACCTTGCCGAGGAGAACTCAGGAGGGTTTGGCTTCCTGACAGGGGTCTGTCTGTTCAGCAGCTTCTGCTTTAACACCCTCCCTGCCCCAGTGGAACACTCCCTCACATTCACAGAAAAGGAGCACTGCTTTCTCAGGATCATTAGCCAGGACGGGTTTTCCCTCTGATCTTACTCATTGACTTTCCTCAAATCAGTTATCAGGAGATTATCAGACTTCAGCCAAGAGACACTGACAAAAAACAACATGTTTCCTTTCAAGAAACATTATTGTCTCATTCACATCAGAACAGTTATGGTTTATGGACGAGTAAAAAAGCAGAAGAACGGGATCTTTTATATTTTGACCTTAGTGGGATATTTTCACCTTTTGCTCATGGATATACTACAGGTGCATTTATAGACTTAAAAACTTTGTTAGTCAGTGACTAGTGGTTTAAATGTACAGATGGATGACAAGATGAAGGTTTCTGCTGCTGGCAAGATGGATGAAAGATGGAAACACTGGGGTAGATACATCAAAAGATGGATGGATTAAGGAAGAATGGATGGATGTCAGATGATGGATGGATAGATTAATGGATGGATGGATGGATGGATGATGAATGGATGATGGATGAATAGATGATGGATGGATGATGAATGGATGATGGATGATGGATGAATGGATGATGGATGGATGATGAATGGATGATGAATTGATGATGGATGAATGGATGATGAATGGGTGATGGATAAATGGATGATGGATAGATGGATGATGGATGGATGATGAATGGATGATGGATAAATGGATGATGGATGGATGATGGATGGATGATGTATGGATGATGAATGGATGATGGATGGGTGAATGAATGGATGGAAAGGATGAGGCTCACCTTGGGTGCACTCTCCAGTTCGTCCACCTGGTTGCTGCCCAGCAGGCCCTTGATGAACAGTTCTACTTTGCCATTGAACTTCATGAACGTCACATAGCAGGAGTAGCACATCAGCAGGCTTATACTTTCCCCCAACACAATTTGATTATCCAGAAAGAAATAGATGAGCATGAGCAGGCCAATGATATAGAAGGAGACGTCTCTGAACAGAGGCCACCAGGTGAGGTTCAACACTTCTTTGGAGAACAGGGCGCACATCCCGATCACAAACAGGATGTTGAATACAGCGGAGCCCACGATGGTGCCGATACCTACATTACTGTGGGAGACAAAGACTCCAATGACAGAGGTGAAGAGCTCTGGGGCTGAGCCGCCTGCAGCCATGAAGGTGGCTCCTGCGACATCATCAGAGATCTCCAGCTTCTCTGTGATGACAGTGAGCGCAGGTACAAAAAACTCATCGCAGACGATGGCTAAGGCTATGAACATGTAGAGCATACCAAGCATATGAAGCACAACATAGCCCTGACGTCTATCCTCCACTGTGAAGTAGTCCGTTGGGTAGTCCCCGTGATTCATCTCTATCTCAGATGATCGCATGGCCACAGGTGTGTCCTCTGGCGCTGCTGAGAGGTTGTGGTACTGCAGAAGAGTTCTGTGGGGCACTGCTGCCTCTGCTGAGCCCTCGGCGTCTGGTCCCGGCTCTGTGGCCACCAGCGTGGCCAGCGACAAGGCACTCCATGAACACACTGTGCAGACCACCACCAGGCTGATGATGAAGCCAAAGATCCGTCCAGGCCGCAGCTTTCTCTTGACGCTCTGGTAGTGGTGCCTGGTGCAGCTGCTGCGAGGGCCCAGAAGAGGAGAGCTGGAGGAAGCCATCCTCTCTTGACTTCTTATGGGTAGCGTGAAATCCATGGCGTTTGGCGCAAATCGTCAGGCAGAGTGGAAGTGTCTGGAGTCGCCCCCAAAGCTGGGTTGGTGGTGCTGGTGGCTAAGAGGGTGGGGGTTTAACAGGCCACGGCGGTTCACCGGTTTGTTTGCATGCTGCTCCCCGGTCTAAACGCAATGGAAGCGCCGCACTCTGATTCCTGGATCTAGCCCATTCAAAGGCTTCCTCATATTACTCACTGGATGACAGAGAAAAACAGTAACACAAGTGTTAATGCAGGTGAGCAGAGGAAAAAATCACTCTGAATTCAATCAGAACATAAAGATAAGCTACATGAACATAAAGCTTCTTCGTGAGTATATGAGGGTTTCTTGTTCTACACTCCTCATTTCCACCCACTTACAGGCCTATACGTGTCTTGTGAGCAGTAGTGACAAGAAATAAAGTACATTTACTCAAGTACTTTGTATTAGTACACATCTGAGACAGTTAAGTTAAATATATATATTACTTTTCTGCTGCTATTCTAAGTATATTTGGCCAAAAGAAGAGAGAATTGTTATAATGTAGTTCTGCTACTTTTACTCCATTAAAGGTCCTGAATAATACGAATAAATCAAATATAGCCTCAGAAAAACTGAAATCAGCAATTTAATAATTCACTTTTCTTCTGTTGTTAACAGATGTTAATGAGCTCACGTGAACTGTGATGTCTAAATCTAGGTCTGCGCCAGACAAATGTTTAAAAAGCTGACTAAGTTCAAGGCTCAGGTAAAAAATAACTGCGGGTATAATATTCTTACACTTCTTATTCTTTTTGTAGGTAGAATTAAAGTATGCACTAAAGACAAAATAGTAGTTGATTGTAGCAGCAGTAAGAGCAGCCGTTCTGTTAAAGTGCCATGGCCTTCTTGACATTGTGCTGAGAAGCTGCAGTCAGAGCTCCCCCTCAAGTGAAGCTTGGACATTAGTGAAATCTCATTAGGAAGCTATTTAATCCCTGAGAAGATATACTTAGATTAGCCCCGCACACTGATGCCACTGCACAAAGTCAAAAAGCTGACACCAACGAAATAAACCCAACGAGTAAATCACAAGTTGATTTTCGCATCGGTCATGAAGCAGCTGCACAAAACTCCTGAATGTTTAAACCTTAGTCTCACAAATCCTGATGCATGAGGAGTCCTGATCTGCCGTCAAACATCAATGTCAGTCATTATATAAAAATGTTTTACCATTTGAAATCCTGCTGGGCCACAACAGCATCTCTTCAACAACACCATGCACTTATAACAATCTTAAAGCACAGTCAAACTACAGCAGCACACACACAGATCACACGAGCATCATTTGTTTTGTTCTCGTACCACTCTTGGATGTTTCCCGTTCAGGCAGGACGGACTCCAGCAGGTGTTCAGGTCCAGATTCTACTGAGGGAAATATTCCGCTAGAACTGAATCCCGGAGGAGAAAGGTCCTGAGGGCTCAGTGTCTAGTGTGAAGGTCTGAGCAGTAAATCCTCTGTGAGATTTTCCTCAGCAGAGGTGGAGCTCCAGTGCATCAGATCAGCAGCTGAGGACCAAGAACCCCTCCCTCCCTCTCTCTTTCTCTCTATATATGTTCCTCCCTCCCTTTACCTCTCTCCTCCCTCCCTCCCTCCCTCCCTCTCTCTATCTTCTTGTCACTGTCCAAAAAAAGAGGATCGCTGCTGTCTATCAGCCACCTCCTCCTCACCCTTCCCACCTTTCCTCTAGTGTCATGTATTGTTTCATCCGGACCACACATCCAAGAAAATGGCTTTTACACAACAAGCTTACACAGCTTGATGGGGCTGAAGCCTTTTGAGCCATCAGATCATAGTGCCGAGCATAAAGCTTCTGAAAACTATCCTAACAGCTGCGTGTTGGGATGCACCGCAGTGAAATTCACCACGTGGAACTTCTAAATGAAGGTGTCATAATTGGAAGAGGGAAGGGACATTTTGAACGTTTGCATGACACTTTCAAAATGTTCCTCTCACACATCTTCACTCTATCACATTATTTAGATCACATTTATTGACATATTGATGACAAAAGTTGTTCCTCTTTTTTTCCAATTCTTGTTTTTGATTTTAGTCTCAAACAGCCAGTTGTTGAACATGACGTCACCACATCTCCTGCCTCTCATTCCCCACGTCTGTGATTGGTTTTGAGCAACTGTGATTTACAGAATCACAGTAAAGTGAATGTACTGTGAGGAAGCCCCCATTCCTCAATGTGTGGACAATGTCCTTTTAATTCACCACCTTGTCTGTTTTATTTCTTGTTGTTTACCAATTGGTAACATTGTTAAGAAAAGTGTGATACAAATATTGTTATTAAATTATTGAATGAACAATAATGTGCAAATATGTACAGACATCTTTTCCAAGGGGACTTTGACTGTGGTGGTGTGTCACTGACTCTTCAAGGCAGTTCAGGCTTTACACTTAAGAAGTGTACACCTAAATAGCAGCCTGAAGGTGAGTTCAAATGATGACCTATGACAAATGACCTATTCTGTTACGTATAGCCTGTCTCTTGGCTCCACCTCCACCTCAGGAGCAGGAGCAGGAGCTGTCTTCTGGGAGAAGGGAGAAATTTTACAAAGGAGAGACCAAGAGAGGCTGTGGGCAGGGAGAGAGAGGAGGGAGTGTGGAGGGGGAGTCTAGTGTTTTTATAAGTAATTGTTTGAGTTATTAGTGAGTATTGTTTTTGAAAATGAATAATGTCTCAATATGAGACACATCTTTTGCAAAGGTGTATATTTTGGCAGTCTGGGACATCTTCCCTGCTGGGAACAAATCCAACCAGACCTGCCGATTGTTTCTGATCTCCTACTGTTCTTATCCCATTAAACCGGAGCATACTTAATGGAATGGGCTCCTAACTTTCTCCTGCTCGCAAAATCTTGCTCTTAATGGCTTAGAGTCAGTCTGTTTCTTAACCCAGCCATGACCACATCAAGGGTGGAATGGCTTCAACAAGCATTGTGTTTTTCTGCTCAAATCTTGTGTCATGTTTGTGGATTTTCTTTGGTTAGATGTTCGGATCGTCTCTGGACCCCTATGAATAAAGAGGGAATAGTTTGGTAAAGGTTGTTGCTTTCTCTATATATTTAGCACAGTCTATATATTTGCACTATGTAGAATTACGTGACAGTGCCACAGCCTGATGTGACACTTGCTTTGGTGCAGGGGTGGGAGGATTCTTTATTTGGGCTGCAGCAGATTTATTAAGAGCTATGTAAAGACCTGAAAAGGCTTAAGTTGTTACATAACCAACCAAGTTAACCGTACCCTACTTCTTGGTAGGCTGCGGTACATCGCCTGCAGAACTTGAAATACAATAAGTCTCTTGGCATAAAGGGAAAAACATCAACAAACCTTTGAGGTTTCAGGTGAACTTCACAATAATCTTACAGAATTAAACACCAGTACGATCTGACAGGGAGTACTTTTTGGAGTACTTTCCATGGTGCATTAAAATATTTTTGAAGGAATCATTCTTCATCATCTTTTCACTCATCTTTATTATTCTACATTGCATCAAGGTGAGGTTAGCAAAGTGACCGGTGGTCCAGATGATGAAAAGTGAAAGAGATCGATCAGTGTTCCTTTGTGAAGCTGGGATCAGCAGCAGCTTACTGGCTAAAGCTCCTGCCTGAAATAGCTGTTAAGTTATAGGCTACATGATTTAGAGAGAGACCCTTTATCTATGAGCAGGGAGACAGCCCAGGTTATCGCTGGAAACTACCTCGTCTCAGGGACACTGACCCTTCATTGAGCTTGGGCCCCTGTCTTTACTGTTGCTATGCCAACCAATCATAACCCAGATTAACATATGAAGAAGTGGGGGTCGAAGTAAAAACTTGATTTAGGAATACGCACTGGAAAATAACAAGGGTAAATCTTGAACTTGGTAATTTGACATCTTGGAAATGTAAAATTATACAAAATCAGCTACTGAGTCTGAATTTCATCAGGCCCATTTCAAGACATCTGAACAGACTAAGTTTGATTGACCTCCTGACGTGGAAGGAGAACACACACTCTTTTATGTCTTCTTTTTTAATTATTCTTTAAATCTATTCTATTGATTTTATTTTTGTAATATTTTCTGTCATTAAATTTGTATGTGTGTGTATATTGATAATATTAATCTGCATTCACTGTACATATTCTCTCACATAATATATTTACTCTTTATATATTAGTTTAATTCCATTTATATTTTTCTATATTTATTTTAATTTTCTACTTATTACTGCTGATGTCTTTTTGCTGCTGTAATATTACAAGTGCCCATTGCGGGACTAATAAAGAACTTTTTATTATCTTATTATTATTGTCATTGTTTTTACCTGTGCTCTGCTGTAGGCTTGATTTCCCCTGATGGGACAATACAGAACTGAAGTGAACTGAACTGAAGATGTGAGAGAAGTGATTTACAATGGCAGCAAAAATAAAACATTTTGATGCTTAAATCAAAAACCAATATAGAGCCAGAGAAGTTTACAACAAGCAGCCAAAACATAGCTGACATGATGCAACCACATGCAGAGAACTGTCCACCTAAATTCTTTCTTAGGCCCTTAGTCTAATTCAAAGTTTTCAAACTTCTGCAGTTTTAAGTCAAAGACTGAAAGAAATGTAGTTTCACAGCAGGTCTGATGGCCGATGTAACGTTCCTCTTTGTATGCACGTCTCCACTGTCACACTGTTCATTTTAGGGTTTATTTTTAAATTGTTTAAGTTAGAAACATAGAATATAATTCTGTGGATCCCACTGTAAAAACCATTCATTAACCTTTTATATAATATTTCAATTTATTATTATAAATAGTTCAATATTACACTGTGGTGAGGATCAGTAGGTGAGTTGAGAGGCAAAAGGAGGACGGTGGCTCATTAGCTCTGCGTAACCCCCTCCTCTTTCCGTCAGCCCATTCAGCCATGACACCAGAGGCCTAAAAATCGTGTCAGACAGACAACTTTACATAATCTGAGTAAAATCCTCTGAATCTCAAATACTGAGTAGGATTACTTCCACCACAGTGACCTTTGCATGTTAGAAAAAAGGGATATGCTGTTGTTTCTTGTATATATATGCTGTTTTTTATCTGATGATATATATTCTATCTCACTGAGATGACTACAAACATGATTTCCCTGCCTTTAACACTGGAACAGAAAGGGTTAACACCATGTTAACACTCTTGAGTAAATCCAGCCTGTCATAGTAAAGACAACAGATAAACAGCTTCATCTAGTGGTTCAAACACAACATTACTCCAAACAAGTGACAGGTTTACGGTTGAGCTTTTCTCAACATCGCAAAATATAAACTTGTTTGCAGGGAACTGGAACACAGTCGGACACCATTGTCCTGACTTTATAACAAAAACCCTTCCTGTTTTTATCTGAGCCAGCTTTTTTTAAATGGGGAGGAGAAAATATTGCCCCGCAAAAATAAGGGATTCTTAAATCTAAATGAAGGCTCTGATAATGATCCTCTCTTTGTTCGATGCACTCACTGCTCTCTGAAAAGAGAGACAATTATTCATAAAGTTTTTATATAATTTATATTAAATAAATGTTATTAAATTTATGAAAGTTTTTAGAAATCGTTGGATATCACATGTCACTTTTCAAACCTGAGCTCATGTGACACCAGCTTGAAAAATATAACAAAATGTATTATTGTTTATTCACCGAAGCAAACATTCAGGATATTGAAAATTTGCTGCAAGGTGCAACAAACTCCACGTTTTGTTTGTATTCTTTGTTTTGATCTTGGTCAACTGTTTCATTGACACACAGGTATCAGAGAAGTTAAAAAAAAAAGTATAACTGTCAATGCAGGTGGTATTTGGCAGCATCACTGCCTGTGTGCATCTCTTCATATCCTCACTGATAATCTGATCCATCAAAGCCAAAGCGTTCAAGATCTTAAATGATGCATACTTACTGAGAGAAAGTCCACACACCACTGTCCATAACAAAAGTTGTTGTAAATAAAGGATTTAATGGAGGATACTGTGTAATAATATGCTCTATTTGTGTTTAACAACGATCAAACACCAGAGCAAAGAGGTTTTGGCAATGTTGGTATTTTATTTGCAGGCTTCATCTTTTCAGAACATTGTAGATTTCTCAACAGAGTCTAAACAGACTTCTGGTGAATGTTAACATCCTTCATTCTTAATTTATGGGTTGGGGACATTCATGGTAAAAGAAAGGACGGTTGATGACATGTATTATATTAAGGCAGTTTTTAGAAAATAAAGAAATGTATTGACTACAATTACTTGTCCAATTAGAGCACATAACCTGTTGCTCTGTGTCCATCCAGAAATGAAATGTCTGCTGTCCTCAGCAGCACCAAACAAATTCAACTTCAGCTCTGTCGAAATTATCCCCAGAAGAAATTATTCAATTTCCTCTCAATTTTAGTTTTTAACTATTCCAAACCTCTCTTCCATCCTCAGCACTTTGCCCTTTTGCCATAGTTGTCTACCACCCCCGGCACAACGCTCTCGTCCTCCTTCACGTCCTCCATCACTGTTTTGCCAACCAGCTGGTAGATGTCCTCAGCTGCGACGCCCATGGGCTCGGCCACCTTTACTGTCAGCATGTCCAGAGTTAGTGTGGTTCCACTGGGGATCTTCACTTTGGCCACCACTGACTTACCCAACTAGTGGAAAAAGAAAGAGCAGAGGGACATTAACAGTGTTTTCTCACTATTTTTCTTTCCAAAACAGTGAAGCAGAGTCTCTTCAGGACATTAAAAACATTATTTCTGACTTTTGTGTGCATTAGACGAAGAGATGATCTGTAACCTTATCGTGACATGGCTTCTCGCAGGGTAACATCTGCTTAAGGCCACTGCCCAGCGCTCTCTCCACAAGCCGGATGGAGCGGACCAGCTCGGTGAGCTCAGAGGGCTCCAGTGAGGCTGCGTGGTCGCTTCCTTTCCACGACTTGTCCAAGGTCACGTGACGCTCGATGACCTTTGCCCCAAGCGCTACGGCCGCCACTGAAATATTAATCCCAGACTCGTGGCCAGAATAACCGATGGGAATGTCAGGAAATTCCTTCTGGTATTCCTGTGGTGAGTTTGACAAGTAAAGCTCTGATTAAAGACTAGTTCAAAACTTGTCACAATGCTCATGATCATGTAGTGGTGACTGTTTGTGAACATAAATGGTTATTAGCCAGTAAAAGCTGAATAAAGATTTCACTAAAATATGAATATATTTTATATTCGAGGATGGATTTGAATTCTTAAAATATGAGTATGGTTTTCGCTTGTTTAACAGAAACGACTTCTCTGCGCCCCAACTGAGGGGGAGTCAACTTGTCATTCATTTTTATATGAGAGTAATTCCTATAAGCTCCATTTACAGTGATCACTCTGAGGTTGACGTCCTCAGCCTCCAGAGGGTAGGCGCTGGTGCACTGCAGGATGGCAAAGTTCTGGTTGTGCTCTTTCACCGTCTTGTAGACCCGACGCATCGTCTCCATGGACTGCATCCCGCTGGACACCACCATGGGACGTCCTGACACAGACAGAAAGATGATAATAAAAATAATAATAATACATTTTATTTCAAAGGCGCCTTTCTGTCACTCAAGGACACCGTACATAGTTAAAAGCAAACAAGTGAAACATTAAAAAGAAAAACATTAAAAGAGAGTCATTAAAAGTATACATCATTAAAACCGGTTAAAATTTCACAGTGGCATGAGGTTGGTTTAGAAGGAGAAGGCAACAGATGGGTTTTTAGTGATGACTTTAATTGTGAGAGAGAGTTAATGTTTCGAATGACGGGTGGTAGAGAATTCCAGAGCTGGAGAGCAGGCTACGCAGAGCTAAGATATGTTGCCACATCTTTTTTTGTTCTCAGAGTAACAGCAGTTCATAAAATAATTTCAAGAGCAGACCAACACTGCGGCCCAATAATAAAAGTTATTGTTTTAATCATAACAATAATTTTACCACTTGTTATATATATATATAATTGAGTTATAACCATTTACACTCACCCTTCTTGGCAGTCTTCTCCAGATAGGGGAAGTTGTTGGTGTCTCCTGATCCCACTTTGAAGAAAGGCACATTGAGCTCATGGAGAAACTCCACTGCCATCTACAAGACAGACACATTTTTGCTCAAACTCCAACTTAAACATGATCGAACATTTAACATCTGTATCTTTCTTACCTCGTCCATGCCCGAGGCCGTGAAGTAGATCCCCACTTCCTCTGCATATTTCTGCAGCTCCCTGTACTGCTCATGGCTGAATTCCAGGTGGCGCTTGTGCTCACCGTAAGTCTTCCCCCAGGATTGTTTGGAGGTGTAGGGGCGCTCCAAGGCTCGCTTGTTAAACTTGTGCTCTAATTCGCTCTTCTGAAATTTGGCACAGTCAGCTCCACAGTCCTGTGAAGGTGGAAGTCACTGTAATTAAAAAGTAAAACTATTTGCAGCCCCCAGGCTAATGAATAGTTTCCTGTCCCACATATTTTACATCTGACTTAATGTCCAATCTTTTTAATCATCTAATCACCCTTTTAATTTAGCCTGATTCTGTCTCATTGCTCTGTTTATGTCTGCTGTTATTTATTGTTTATACTTTCATTTTATCCTTATGTATTGTATTTTTTGATTATTTTGATTACATGATTAGTATAAGCATTAAAATAACACTCTTATCTTGTCCCCACAAGTGCTGCCAATTTATAAATATCTTTTTAGCAAATGTCCTGGGAAATTGTGGATAAATCAGATACCTGCATATTGAGAACATAATCAAATTATAGTGGATGAGCCATATTTTGCCTTAATTTCTGAAATGCTGTGTTATTATGTACATCTAAAGTTTAAGTTTGTCAGCACTGTTCTCCACACACCAGCACCCAGACCCACCTGTGCGTGTCATGTGCTAGATAGTAATGTACACATCAGACTCCATTCACAAATCTGGCACTTTGACAACATCCGCGTTCAAAGTCCTTCAGAGCCACTTGGACAGAGCGCAGTTATAACTGGTTCTAGTTCAAAGATGGGTAAAGACAAAGCAGCAGTGTTCATTCATACTTGATTCACATCAATGGTGCAGAAGAAAGAAGGCTGGGCAAGCAAGATGTTTAACTGGTCGATTTTGAGTGGACGTCAGGTCCTGACATGTTTGAGATAAAACCAGATGAACCTAAAACACAGTCCGAGACAGTTTTGTTTGCATGTGGTTTCATTACCTTTGACATTTTGATCATTTTCTTGGCAATCTCAATGTCTCCCTGGTGATTCTGTCCGATCTCAGCGATGATGAAACACGGGTGGTTTCCTCCGATCATTCTGTCCGGACACAGCTCGAACTTTAAAGGCATTTTGTTTCAGAAATTGCACGATCGACCAGTAAAAATGATAATTTAACAGAAGACAGGACCAACGCAGACAGTGACGAGCCGAGTCAGGAAGTGTAAATGTGCCGTTCAACCCGGATGGGACGACTTCCGCTTCGTCAGACTACGTAATAACCGGTTTGCTCTTAAAAAATAAAAGTCTAAATCTGGGACGATGTAACTGCAAAAATAAATACAACAATAAGAACATTGATCTTATTTGCTTTATTTTTTATATGCAAGATTTTTCTTATCAATTACATTTGCTTTTTATTTGCAACATTCATTTTTGTTTTCAAGACATTTATGTTTCCAATATTTATATTTTTAATTTGCAACACCATTTTATTTGCAATATTTGTTTTTATTTGCAATATGCATCTTTATTCCCAAGACCATTTCTATTTGCAATGCGTATTTTTATTTGCAGAAGCATTTCTATTTGCAAGATATATTTTTATTAGCAGAATCATTTTTATTTGCAAGAGCTATCTTTTTTTGCAGTATTTATTTTATCTGCAGGAACATTTTTATTTTCAATATGTATTTTTATTTGCAAGATTAACAGTAGAAGCAGAAGAACTGATTACTATTGAAGGATCACATCCATCTATGGAAACTAAGTTAAGTTGCAAGAAAATCCCAACACCATTAATCTTTAATATCCTCCACAAACACAGTATAGATATATATAGCCACTGCATATGATTAAAGTGAAGCCTTTATACTCTCATTCTATATATAACCTCACCTCATGTTTTTTTTAAGATGTACAGCTGCGGGCAGGGACAGATCATTGAATGTACAGATGATGTTCACACCACATATGAGAAATACTGACATGGTGGATTTCTCAATTCTTGACAGTGCTGGTGGAGAAAATATTTGAACTTCGGTTAAATAGTAGTACACCCTTTAATTACTGTCTGCTTTAATTACTGTCTGCTTGTTTACACATCTCACAGTCACACCCTCTTTGGTTCAGCTATCACCATCATGTGGTAACTTTAATATCCGATCTGTTCACCCTCTGTGTTTTTTTTACTTTTCTCTAGCTGGCCTTCTCTCTCTCTCTATCCAACCTCTTGTCTTTCTCCTTCACTCAGACATGATCCTCCCTTTGTCTGTCTCTCTTCTTTCCTCTGAATCTCTCAATTGACTGTATCTCTTCCTATAGACACACAACACGTCTTCTCATCCACCTTGCTCTATCTTTCTGTTTCTCTTTTTGTCTGTCTGCCTCTTTCTCCCTCAACCAGATCCTGTGGATCCCTTACTCTATCATGTTCGCCAAGATGCTGTCGTCCTCCTTCACGTCCACGTTGAGCTTCTTGCCCACCAGCTGCTCCATGGTCTCAGGGGAGATGCCCTTTGGCTCGGCGACCTTCACCATAAACATGTCCAGGCTCAGTGCGGTGCCTTTGCAGATGGCCACCTTGGCCACCAAAGACTTACCCAACTGGAATCAAACAAAGCCATTGAAAGATTAACAAAAATGGTTAGAAAACCAAACAATATTAAGCCATGTAAACTGCAGTGGAGAAGGTTGATGTGCGCCCATTTCATCATTTGTTTTAATCAAGCTGACATTTAAAACAATGAGGTTTAAAAGACAGAGAAATTTAATTAATTTACATTAAAATTAGATGAATTGAATTCAAATGTATTAAGAAGCAACATTAGGGTACTTCTGCATACATTTTCATTACAACACTATAACACTTCTGTGTTACTTTTGTGCGTGTGTGTCTTTCCTGAACTAATGCTGTGGTTGTGCACATGGAGCCAAGATTGCATGTCCTAACAAATGTGTTTGCATGTGAGCCGTGCAGTTAGTGATGTGTCATACTTTTGTTGGGAGATGACAGTTTGCAACGACCGTTTCTCTACCATCTGATAACGATAGAAATATCGCCTAGCAGTAGTGTGACTCTGCCAACCAGTCAATTGGCAGTTTGGTCTCTGTCCAGACCAAAGACTCTATGATAATATATGTAGCGAGGACTTTGAGGGAATTTAATTAAACTTCTAAATATGTCTATTCTGTCATAATGAGCATATCAATTTATGAGTTAGGACAAAATGTGCTTTGCCAAATTCTAATCACTTTTGTAACAAATTTGAAGAAAAATGAGCATGATATGATCCTAAAGATGCTTATATTGATGATGATCATAGTATTGATAGATAAGTTTTCCAATCACCCCTAATAAACAGCAGTTGTCATATTCTTTCTTCAAGCATCAATTCTCTTCATGTATGTTTAATTCAGTGTATAACAGGATACTATTAAAATCAAAATCCATCCAATGTTGGCTTAAGTCTCAGCGGTAATGACAGATATTTGTCTTACAGTTGTATGTTACTTTTCACAATACTTTATCACTACAATAGAAAATAATGTGTGAGAAGAAAATGCTATTTCTTCAAAATTAAATACCGGTAGTTATATTGAAGTCAGGTTAAAAAATAAAGAAAGAAAGAATAGCAAAAGTCAGTGCAGCACAGCTAGAGAGATCAACGTCCTAAAACCATAGATCCTAATCTGTCAACTTTCACTAAGCACATGTCATTAAAACCCCAAGCTGCTTTTTGTAATGCAGTTTTTTTTAGAAGTCCTAGTTGAGATAACCCTGATGATATTATGTGGGTTATTTTCTCGCACAATTGCTGTTTGCAATAAAGTATCACATGGTAGTTTTATCACAGAACAATACAATCATCCTTATTATATTTACCTCCACCAAAGAGGTTTTATCTACAACCCTGTCTGTCTGTTTGATGGTTGGTTGGTTTGATTGTAAACAGGAGGCAGAGTGGCCCTTAGTTCTAGTTGGTGTAATTTTTTATACTCTAGCAACGTAAAAGAGGGTGAACACTAGAAATAAAACTGCTGACACAAACTCAAGTCACACCAACCTTATCGTGGCAGGTCTTCTCACAGGGTAACATTTGCTTGGTGGGTGACCCCATCCCCATCTCCACCAGTCGAATGGCTCGGATCAGCTCTGTCAGCTCTGAGGGGTCCAGGGACGCCTGGTGGTCATTTCCCTTCAAGCTCTTATCCAGGGTCACGTGGCGCTCCACGACCTTTGCTCCCATCGCGACTGAGGCCAAAGTGATGTAGATCCCCTGCTCATGTCCTGAATATCCAATGGGAACATCTGGAAATTCCCTCTGGTATTCCTTCAGGGAAAGAGAAAGTCTGTCAAAATGTGTGTTGTGTGTAAAAGTTGTTATATAGTATGTTATATTTTTTATGTGTATGTGCTTAGCAACAATGTTACTGTTGTATATCTGTAAAGAGGTTTTTATTCATGAACTGAGTGAATAAATTATTTGCAAGACAGGAGGTAGAAAGTTACCTTGGACGTTTGCCTAAGATAAAAAAAATAAGGCATTCCCTCTTGGTGTCTCACACTATAATTATCCACTGATGAAAAGTAAACCAACACCCACACACACACACACACACACACACACACACACACGCACGCACACACACACACACACACACACACACACACACACACNACACACACACACACACACACCATGTCAAAGATCACTTTTGGGGACTTTCCATGGACATATTCATTTGTTGGAGACACTAATCCTAACACATAATTGCTTCTCCCTAACCTAACTTTAACCATGGACCCCAATAATCAGCTTTTCAAATTAGGGACACACCTCTGATCCCTAATTTGACAAGCGGTCCCCAATCGACTATTTTATACATTGTGAAATCTGTCCCCAAAGGTAGCCTATGACAGGGATATACACAAACACACCACACACACGCACGCACGCACACACACACACACGTTTGTACTTCTATCTCAGTGAGGACATTCATTGGAATAATGCATTCACTAAACCCTTACCCTAACCCGGACCATCCAAACTAAAGGCCTAACCCTAAGCTTTAACCTTACCTAACTTTTATTCTAACCCTAAAACCAAGTCTTAACCCCCAAACAGTCCATTAAACGGGTGTCACAAAGTGAGGACCGATCAAAATGTCCTCTTTTTCCCAAAAAGGCTAAAACTGGTCCCCACAAAGACAGCTGAACAAGAACACACACACAGACACACACACACACACACACACACAAACACATTGTCGACATGATTTCCCAACATACAAATATACTCTTCCTCCTCCACAGTTTGCTGAGACTGTCTGATGAAGGAGGGAGGGAGACAGCAGTTTCCAGTCTAACTGGTCTTCATGGGAACTCCCCAAACTGAAGTGGAATAAAACAAACAATATTATCATGCCGATGTATGAGCAACTTAAATGTGTTCTTAGCCACACCGTACTCCTGAAAGCAGAGTCTGCAAGGCTTTGTCGAACAGTTGGAGTTGCACAGTGCTGTGGTATCACATGATGTTCAGACACTGGAATAGGAAGAAACTGTTCATCTTGTTTGTAGTATATAAGATTTGTTTCTGCCTAGAGTAAGTCATTGACTATTGACGTAAACAAAATAACATCACTGATTTCACAATGCTGCGTTCAAAACTCAAATGTGCTTTCTCACTGACTGGGTAAAACTTATGACTGAAACTGATTCCTATGCATTCTCAATAGCTAGAATGATGAATGCACAAGGGAAATTTAAATTTAAAAAGTCTGAGCTCACTTCTTCCTCTATTTTAGGGACTAACTGCAATAAAAGATTGTGTGGAAATTTCTGTTAGATAGTATTACAGCTGGAATTATTAAAAATACTGTTATCCATGCTTTTGTGAACCATGAGATGTGTGTTTTGAGATTAATGTTTGGAAAATTAATTAATGATGTAAACTGACTATGAAGAAAAGTGAATAAACGTAAATGACAAAAAAAAGTAGGCTACAGTAAACAAGCTTTGAGTAAAGGTGCTGACTGACCCCACGGCTGGTTGTAGTCTAACTCTCTGGATGTAAACTGTGGGTATAATCCTTCTATTGGGCACGCTCCGCTATGAGAAACAATATCATTCAGGCTAGCAACCTACATACACATCGACAAGTATTTGGATTATGCAATCACACAATCATCATGCGTTTGTCTGTTGGTAATTACTTAATCGGAACACGTCAGCTTTCAGCCCCACCTAAAGGCCATTTTTTTTAAAGTGTGAACACTTTTATTTTCTGACATGGTTGAGTGACACATCTCAGGTCCTACTTTGCTTTGAACACATTGAAACCTGCTTTCTCTCATGACTGCAACCATTTCAATGACAGCCCCACCTAAGATAATTATTAAAGACAAAGCAGGGGTGCTGCCAAACCGTTGACTTGTACTGACAACGCTGTGGAGATACATACATACCTTTCGTCAGATTTCAACCACTTCAGGGAACCATCCAACATCTTGTCGAAAGGATGGTCTTCACCTGAACAGTAAACATCAACCCAGCAATGACCTTAGCAGCTACAGTTTCAAGACTGCAGACACACAAGTCTTCAATAGGTATAGCAAGTGTATAGCAAATGATAGATAGATGAGGAGGGGAAGAAAATCCATCCAAAGGAAGACGTGTTGGTTAAACCGTAGAACCTGTGGTATTTTTGCCTAGTTCTGTCCTGCTGTATCTGCTGTCTCCAGTCAGTTATACAGATGACATGAGGTTATACCTTTCAATGAAACCCTCAAATTTTTTTAAAGCTATTCATGCTACATCATTGCTTATTTGATCTCAATCTGAGCTGAGCACCACTCTGCTAATATCAGCTACTGTTTGTTCACCTTATCCTGAGCATTGTGGTTCAAAGAACCTGGGTTCAATAAACTTTATTCAATACTTGGAGCAAAAACTGCGCAGAAGTCATTCACCGATAACTATCATATTGTCAGCAAGTGGAAAGCTGGACAGAAGAGCAACCTTCTGCTATGTTTTTAAAACTCAAAGTTCAAGGAGCATGGCCAATTCACAAAGTGACAGGCCAGGTAAGTAAAGTGAGCAGGGTGCAAAGCTCAGTTTAATGTGCGCAGCTGATGAATGTGGGTTATACGTTTTAACATGTTTGTCTTCAGCTATGGTCCAGTCAATGGCAAAAGTGGACAAATGCCCAGTGCCCTGGAGCCAATGTGGGCCCTTGGCCTCAAGATTTATTTCTAGACTATCTTCACCTCGGTTAAGGACGTTATGTTTTTATCTGGATTTGTTTGTTTGTCTGTCTGTTAGTCAGCAGGATTACGCACAAAACAGTCGAGGAAGTATCACAAAACTAGGTGGAAGGATGTGGTACGGGTCAGAGAAGAACCCTTTTAATTTTCAGAGGATCCAGGAATTCATGGATCTTGATGAAAAAAACTCAAGCTAATATTTAGTGTATGCAATTTGGCGCAGATCCAAATAAAACATGGATCTCGTGAATTAAGTTGTGGTTTAATTAGAGGGCTGAGGTATGTGCTCCCTGAGTGCTATTCTTTATGCATTTTAGTTTTTAGACTTTTGGTGTAAATGTGACTGAAAATCTTGAATGATTATGAAGGTGCTTTATAAATGTAATCATGTGAAGTTCTAACATATGTGTGCTGAGACTGAATCTAATGCTTCATGTCTTGTTAAAACGTCAATATAATAAATATAATGTGGTGCATAAGTGATATATGTGTGGTTGTAGGTCGCTCTAGGCCACACATAGTGTGCATGTACCATTTGCATGTGTGGGTAGAGGTCTGTGGCGAGTTTGCGTTCAGGGCATGCAGTCATGTTAATTTGTCAATAAATGACATTTGTGGGGACCCAGCCTGCTCTATGAATACTACAGTTGTCGTCCTGGCCTCCATAAAGAAGGTTTTGGTATGCTTGACATGGAATCCGCAGTATGCAATTGCAAACTCACCCCCATCTGTGTCATATACAAAGCTTCATTCAGCGCAGACTTACTGTAGAACCATCAAATATCTAAATGGCTCCTCAATCCTGCATCAGCACTTTACAAATGCAAAGCAAGCACTACAACTTAATTTGATTGTATTTTGTATTCTATTGTATTTTTAACCCCCGGGCATCCTACTCTTATTAAACTAGTTTTTACTGCATTTAATTTTATTCTGTATTTATTGTGTATTTTACATCAACAGATGTATGTTATGTTGTTATGAGGAGGGGCTTGTGTGTTTTGTTTCTTTTCTTGTTATGTGTTATGCTGTGATTGTCGTGGGGCACACAGAGGCAAATTCCAAACAACGAGTTGTTGTGTGGCAAGATAGAGGCTGTGCAGCTCTCTCTACGCAAAACCCACTCAGACAGGGCCTCAAATGAAGACATTGATATAAAATGACCCTAAAGTGACGGGAGAATTGAACCGCGAATCTCAGATTAGACCATCACATATTATTCATCTCTGGAACATGGTGAGGATTACCAAGGGTCATTGCATTCTGCAAAACATACTACTAAGACATTTGTGTGATACAAATCTATACTGTATCTATTCACACACATTGCATGATTTTAGTTTCTCCATTCAGACATGACTGGAGTTGAATCAGTGAAAACAAAGTCAAGTGCAGAATATCTGAACCTGTTCAACACTGGTCGGGGCTGTCGGCTGCAGCAGTACGTGTACATGTACAACAGAACGGTTCAGAGAGTTTACATGTGTGAAGGATGATTGAGTGGGAGGAGACACTGGTTCTATTAATCTTACCGGGATCACACTGAGGTTGACGTCTTTAGGGTCCAGAGGGTAGCAGCTGGTGCACTGCAGAAGGGAGAAGTTTGTGTTATGCTCCTTCAATGTCTTGTAGACGCAACGAATAATCTCCATGGACTGCATCCCACTGGACACCACCATGGGACGTCCTGACACAGACAGACAGGGACATATTGTGTTTGTTATGGGATGCACCACCCTTGACATATTTACAGAGGGAACTAGTTTATAACTTTGTGTTGTTCAGCCATGCATAGTCATATTTGGTTCATTTATTCTTTAACATCATGAGTCAGTTTAAGTAGTGGATGCTGTCAAATATTCAGAACACAAGAAGGAGGTATGGGCAAATCATTTCCTGGTATTAATAGTCTCTGCTTCACTTCATCTAGACAGCCTCAGTTGACACATACAGGTAAGGAATTTGGTGATTCATCATTCCATTTGAAGTAACTATACACGCCTTGATGCTTGAGCTGAGGACACATAACCTCTGCAGGTGAGCAAAGGCCAACATTTAGTTCCATCAGATTTTAGCCTCTGAAATTGAGCCCATGGCAGATTTCAATGGTGAATTGCACCTGAGACCGCACCCATTAATGAAGGTGTGGTCAAAAACTTGTTTTCTGTTGAAATCCTACTGTAAAACAAACAAGTGAAATCTATTTACCTCTCAGCTTAGTCTGCAGACACATGAAACATGCAACGATTAAATTGCAACACAAACTTTTATCCGTTTTTTTTTTTGTTTTCTTCTGAAATTGTGCAGCGTCTTACCTTTTTTGGCAGTTTTCACCAGAAAGGGGATGTTGTTTGTATCCAAGGAAGCAACTTTGAAGAAAGGCACATTGAGCTCATGCAGGAACTCCATAGACATCTATGGACACCAGTGTACAGTAATTAGGACACAAATTCACTGTCAATACACCTTTCCCCTCCGTGTCAAATAATTCAATGTAAAGTAAGTTACTCATCATTTATAAGCAGGCAGAACAAAAAGTAAAGATTCATGTTCATATGAAAGGACAGAGTCTCCTGATACAAGACATAAACAAATAGAGAGACACAAAAGCCTATATGTAATAATACAGTAGCACAGAGATAAAATAATATATGAAAATAATTTATATAAAACATATATGTCAAGATATATCTTTGTCTTAATGTCATGAACAGTCAGTGTCTTGAGAGTAAGTGGAGGTTAAACTTAATCTGTCAGTAACCTGGATTATTATGATTATTACCTCATCCGTGGCAGAGGCTGAGAAGAAGATGCCAATTTCTTCTGCATACTTCTGCAGCTCCCTGAACTGTTTGTCGCTGAACTCCAAGTGATGCTTGTGTTCCCCGTAGGTTTTTCCCCAGGAGTGCTTTGAGTCATAGATGCGGTCCAAGGCTTTCTTGTTGAATTTCTGATTCAAATTACATTTCTGGAATTTAGCACAGTCGGCACCACAATCCTGAAACGACACAAGACAATGAGGCAGGGGAGATGAGAGGATGCTGGATTCATTTTGACAGCACAAAGCAATATTGTTTGCATTGTAAATTCAGTTTCATCTCTAATTTACCTTCACCATCTTGATCATTTTCTTTGCAATCTCAATGTCTCCCTGGTGGTTTTGTCCGATCTCAGCTATGAAGAAGCAGGGATGGGAGCCCCCGATCATCCTGCCGGGACACAGCTCAAACTGCAGAGGCATTCTGGAGGTTTACGCAGGAGAAGTGATGACCTGTGTTCTAATAAACTGGATTTCAGCACTCAAGATTCAGAACTCGGACTCAGACACGGAGTAACAAGTGAACCAAAGATTTCCCTCTGCCTTTTATAGGTAAGCCAGAGAAATCCCGCCTCCATGTGGAATACATTTTCATATGAAGTTTTTAGGTATACACACCTGACCATGTCTCCCTCCCTCTCTCTCTCTCTCACTCACTCACTCACTCACTCTCTCTCTCTCTGACACACACACACACACACACACACAGTGTTCATACACAGCAGAAAAGGCAGTGCAGATATTGAATAGAAAATCTGCATTATACTGACAAACAGTATTCAGCAATTTGTGTTTTTATTTATGTTGATGTTAAAAACACTATCTATCTATCTATCTATCTATCTATCTATCTATCTATCTATCTATCTATCTATCTATCTATCTGTCTGTCTATCTATCTATCTGTCTATCTATCTATCTATCTATCTATCTATCTATCTATCTATCTATCTATCCTTAAGTCATCAGCAGCCACACCCATTCTCAGTATGAAGTTAGGACTTTACATGCCTGGGTTTGAATATCATTTTTTGTGTCAAATCATGAATCTAATTAATCTGAAAATCTAAATTGCTTCCAACATTTTGCCAGCAGAGGTAACTTTAATAGAGCAGAGATGTGGGCTCCGTCTTCATCCTCTCATTGACTCCATGAACTTTTCCATTAGCTCAGGTGTATTATCAAACCTGATAATCCTGATAAACCATATAAACTGACAATGGCCGTCCCATCTTTACTTCCTGGATTTGCATACAAGGCAAGAGAGGGTGGCGTGTGAAACTAAACAAAAGCTTTTGTTATTAGCCCTTTTCACCTTCAGCTGTTATTATGAAGCCACGTGAGAGCACCTGAGCCAGTGGTCAGGTATATATCATATAAAGAGCTGAACTCTGACTTTAAACATTCTTTGGTGTGGTTGGCAGGTGTGTGTGTGTGATGGCATGAATGCAATCCACCATGTTGGCATACCATCAGTAGTTATACCAGTTTGTACCAGTGAGGAATAGATGACCTAATCTTGGGGCACGTCAAGGTAAAGTGAGATACTTTTAGCTCTGACATCGAGAAGTGATTTGTGCAAAAGCTTCAATCATCACTGGAGTCATTTAAGCAGTCAGTTGATGTGTTTAACCACAGGGAGGCAGCAAAACATGCTGCTTGTTCAACATTGATATTTATCTGTCTACACATCAGGCTCACACGAAGAAACCTCATCATCTCTCTGGACTCATGGTTCTGCCCATGTGCTGAAAATTAAGTCCAATTATGACTTTTGAATCTTTTAGCTGTTTCAATAATACACATAGAAACCCATAGAAAGGGTCTATCTGTATATGCAATAGTACATTAGTAGAAACCATAGGTGTGAATGTGAGTTTGAAAGGTTGTTTCTGTATGTTGGCCTTGTGATACACACTGACAAGTTATCCGGGGCGTAGCCCGGTGTCAGCTGGAACTGGCCCCAATCCCCCTGCGACCCTCAAAGGATAAGTCTGACAGATAATGAATAGAAGCTAAATTTATATTTAAATTTGAATATTAATTACTTTGGAATCAATCTATTCAGGTTTTCAATTTATATATTCAAGTTAGATTATACAAATTCCTGAAATAATTTAAATCGAGCAATTTAAAGACAAAGTAATTCTCCCATGACACATATTTCCGCCCATATATTGAAGCCTATATAATGTTGTATTCTACTTAATGTAAAAAAGTAGTTTTGGAGTCCAAACTACAAACTAACCCATAAAGCCCTGAAGGTCAAGAGCTATTAGCTACCCAGCACCAGGTAGCAATAACAGCTACAATAACATTTATATTGAGTATTATTTTAGTTTTTCTATTTTGTTAACTCAAATTAAATGTGTACTTCTCTACAGAAGCTCTGTCTCCGTGTGGACACAAACAGAAACAGATTTAATGATCAAACTCACACTCATCTCTCCAGGACCTGCATGCAGGCACCACAATACTTTCAGTTGACTCGGTGCACCACAGTAATAACTACAATAGCACATTTAGTAGAGCACATATATGCAACCAGGCTCAACAGTTTCTTTAAATTCAGTCAAGCTGCACCAAGTTTCACACACTCAGTCACAGATAACAGTCTCCTTAATATGCCCAATTTTTTTTCTATCAAGATTAATGAATTATTTCCTTGGAAATCAGTGAAATGTTAAAAAAACATATACAATGCACCAATCCCCTAACCCCAACAGGTTCTGTGATGTTTGAATTTCCCTCCGGGGATTAATAAAGTATTTCTGATGGCCAATAACACATCCATCAGCCACGTTCCACCCACAATAATCAGACAGGGATGAAAACATAAACTCCTTGGCGGATGTGATAAATATCGAGCTAAAGAACGACAGGACAATAACTTTCATTCAACTTTTACTGATATTGAAATCAAAAGGACAATGAACACACATGGTCAAGCAACAGCTGGCTGATATTTTTAGTTCTCTTTAAAACCACAACTGTCTAATTTCAATGACATAAACGTTTTATATTCTGTATATATATTGCCTTCTGTATATGTACAAAGGTACACACATAGAGTACATACACACACCGTCAAGGTTTAAACGCACATACAAACAGCTCACATATACTGTAATGACTGGACTTTGTTCAGTTCCTGACTGGGGGGGGGCTTTTCAAAAGGATATGCATAGATTGGAAAATTTAACACAACATATGCCACAAGCAGGCTCTAAACACACACAGGTCAAAGAACTGGAGTTTTGTTTTAGTTTGGTCCTTAAACAAAAAAAAAACAAAGAAAATTCTGAGGATACTTTTTTGTAAGGATAGGAGAACATGATGTGATGGAGGGCAAATTAAATCCATTTAACAACAACCAACCCTCACAGGTCCAAAGATTGACAGGATCACGATGAGTACAGCATCATGGGAATGATATTGTTTGGGGGCCATGAGAAGCAGGCTGTAGTGTCGCTGTCGGCCCAAACAAACATCAACCCTTCCCTTTTAGTGTCCCAACTCACCAGCCTTTCACAAGCGTTACACAAGACTACACAGAACTGGTCTGGTTATTCCTAACATACATCTAACTGGTCTTTATCTCTTTAAACAACAAGAAAGAGGAATTACGAGGTGTTGACTTGTCTGCAGGAGGTTCTCAAACCTTTCAGTGGGGCAGAACATGGTGAGCTGGTGCTTTGAGGCTAATCTCTACAGCCCTGCCAGGAGGAGATAGATGGGGATGGAACCACTGGCTCTGTCCTTCAATGGGGGGGGGCTGTGTATGGTGGGACGTCGGTAGTTAGGTTGGTAGGTGTGTGTGTGGTGATGAGAGGATGATATGGAATGATGCCCTGAGCAGCCTCAATGGCCTAGCGGACAAGTGGAGACTGCTTCAGGGAGATGAGGACGGAGCGCATGCGGGACACGTCTTTGGCCTGCTTGCTGGACTTGGGGTTGAAGTCGCAGAGCCGAGCCACCCGCTCCCACTCTGTGCCTGGGTTGTTCTCATCCAGATCTGAAATCATGGCCTCCTCGGCCGCCCTACATGTGACAGGGAAGACAAGAACGGAAAGGACAAGGAGTAGAGAACAGTCAGTGTGGGAAGAGGCGAGTTAAACCTAAGGCATACGTACAGTCCTGAGAAAATCCTCTGCTGATTGCCAACAAACACAAGCTCTCATGGGGGGGGCAGACTCTGGCATCGCTGACTGATTGGATCAAATAAAGCTCAAATTTCTCTCTGAAGAAGACTCGAAAAATACTTTAATGTTGTAACAACAATAAATGAACTCAGGCCATTTGAGTCTGTTTTATATTGGTTCTCAGCTTGGTGTTGGTTCAGCAGAGTCGACCTCAGGACAGGACAGTCCAATCATCGCACAGAGACACACACACATCTATCTTAATGCTCACAAGTCGAAACAGGCAACAACAGATTCATCATCGGTGACATGCCCCCAACTTTGCTTACACATTACAGTCACCTGGAATTAACTCTCCACAACTTTAGGGGGCCATACATGTGAAACACTGATGAGAAAACAAACTGAAGCTAAAATAATCATATTAAAAATAATCATAAGGTGTGAAAAGCATTTTTGGTTGGTTAAAATCACAGTTCTTAGTAGAACTGAGGGAGGGGAGTTTGCCCACACCTGCCCAGCTGTTGCATATTTACACTGTTCACTTTCTTCAACAAGACACAAGTAATGAGATGTGAAGATCATCTGTATACTCGTCCTTCATAGAAAAAAGGAACAATAATGACAAGTTCTGCTTTTTTTCTTTTTTAACCAAGCCCAAAAGAACTGGAAGCACTACTGGGCTGTCGCCATGCATTTAGCTGCGGCTGAAAAGCAGGCGCGAATGTGTTTATTTAGATTTTGTGTGCCATCGTCATGGATGTCAATTTGTGTCTTTTTGGTGATATTGAAGAGTTATCAAAACCATGAATCAAACCAAAAGAAAAGCGACATTTACACTACAGGACTGACATTATTCAAAATGAAAACACAAAACTGATTCAACAAAGAACAAAAATACAAAACTTTTAAACTAAACATTAATCAGTGCCACCACCACAATTCACTTTAGGATGCAAGCCACAGGTTGTGGCTATGAAAATTAAAACCCTCATCACACCAAACCCACAAAGCATTTAGTCAAAATTCCACTGCCAGATTTTATTTCTATTTGCAAGGATCCCTCCACCCCCGCCCAATTTAAGCACAGACTCAGCTCTAACTACAACACAGTACACAAAGCAAAATGGGGGATGAGAAGCCAATGAACATTCACCATCACAACCAACTACAAATACACAAGGGACCAGAAGGACCACAACATCACAGAAGGGACATTCTACCATTTAACTAGGCAGTGGATCCAACTGTCAGGCTCGTAAACTAGAATATCTGAGCAAGGTACAAATATCTAACACACACACAAAGAACTGTATCTACCCCCCTTTCAAAAAATATATTGAGTATTCGGAGGTTCTGGGGTTTTATATTTTTACTTAACTGGTCTAGGCGGTAGCAAGGATGGTTAATGTGTGTGCTTTAAGGTGCATAGGAAAAGAAAACAGGGAGAAACAGTTTCACAAGTCAGAATTTAGAAAAGAGAGATAGAGAGGGGAGGGGACGAAATGAAAGACAACAAAAATGAGCCAAATGCAGATGGTGAACGCAAACATGCAAAAGCAGCAGTTTATATAAAACGTATATATGTTCAAAGTGTTCTACAGAAAGAATAGTGTGCAGCCTTTGGTTTTGGTGAGTGAGTCCCATGTTATATTTCTGTCAACAAGGACATTAGGCTCTCATTTATGAAACGCTGTCGACTTTTTTCTAAGTCAAAAACGAGCACTGCATAATCATAAATTAATCTACATGCAGTTTTTCTTTTTTTATAAATCGCTCATTAACACAATTTATTTCAATACTGTTTTTGACAATTATGACCAGCTCCGACTTCTTTGAGGGATATCCCAGGCATTGATCAGACACTGTATCTAGATCTATTCATTCTCTTGTCACCTTTTCTTACTTAAATCACAACCTTTGTGTGGGAAGCTGTATTCACATCTTTGGAGCCAACATGTTCTTGCTCGATATATAAATATCATAAATAAGTTCCCCGCAGTCCTCGTCACAGACACAAACCAACAGGACGTAGAAGGAAGAAGGTTTGATTCAGCGTCTTTCTACACCTTCACTGAGGCTAAAAAGCACATTGTTCAATAGTATTGGGGAAAATCTCACATTTGAGCTGCACAGGCTGCATTGAGGAGTACACATTATGAAATATAGATATTAGTAACATTGTAAGATACCTCTTTCCCTAATCAACAGACAAGAGTAAATTACCCAGGAGCAGACATATTAGTACTGATGTTACCTATACTGTGGGTAAGTGACAGCAACAACAGCTCATTGATCCAATAAGTGATGGGGAAGTAATACCATGACTGAATATTATGATTTTACAAGCTCATATTCTCACCAAGCATGATGCCTTTCAGCTGTACATTAATAAAAATTTGCTACTTTGAAAACGAGAAAAGAAATGTGTACACCATAATGCAGACTAATACATGTTCCTGGAAGACTTGATAACATAACCAAAGGCTGCACAGCTCAGGCTACTGGACAGCTAGCTTTGGCAAATCAGTGTATGATCCTGTCGGACAGCAGTAGCTACAGAGCAGCTTACCATCTAATAAAGCGTGAACACAGTTCAGTTTGAAGCAGTTGTGTATTCATGACATGACCAGTGGTGCCTCCAATGAAAGTTTGCTGTACGATTAATTTTAGCAGCACAGTGAGTTTTAGAGCTTACTGTGTCACAAGTCAAGATTCTTCAAAAGGTCAAGTAAGACCCAATTAAGGACCAAAATCATGGACACAAATATGGAAACCTGTGTTTCCTAAAAGGTGATTAGGGCCCCTAACTTTACTTAACTAATAATAAATTAAATGATCCGAAAATGCAAAATAAATTGTGAGATTATAAATCCTGCAAAGAGCTCAAGTAAAAGGCCAAATAAGCTTAGTGAAGTAAATGAAAATAAAAAAAGCTTTAATTTGAGAGGATAGATGACAACAAATAACACCTCATCTCTTGTAAGTTAGTTTGATGAACTTTTTGATGGGAATTTCATGAGTTCAAAAAGTAATACAACTTTAAACACTGGATTTAAAAAATGTCTTCTTTTTTGTTTGCATGTCGATTTATTTCCTTTCCATACAATTTTATATTAATTGTTGCTTCTTCTGAATTGCTGTTAATTCTCCATAAGTGATTATTTTCATTGGTTTGTAATATGCACTTGATTTTTCTTGCATAGATGTGTCCTATAGATTGTTAAAAGGGAAAAAAATAACTTCAGTATGTTAAGTTTGATACTATTCTGTTCTGCACAGAGAATGTGGGAAGTCGAAGTATTTAGGAAGCTTGACTTGTAGCGTTTCAGGGAAAGGAACCATAATTAAGATTTATCAAGTCAACTGTGTAGCAGAGAGATTGTATCGTGTGTTCTAACACACTAATTCAAACACCACGTCCACATATGAACACACAATTGCTTCAAATAAATCTATTGGCATGCTACTCCTGAATATATTACGTAGATTAATTTGTTTAAAATCACAAGTAGAAAAGCCATAAAGTAGAAACAAAACACTTTCTCTGAAACGTCATACAGTTAATGTAAGCAAGTGAGAATAGTGGGAAACTCAAGAAATGTATCTGCAAAATGTAGAATAGGTTGATGGGTAAGGCAGAGTGATGACAGAATTCAATAGGTTTCAGTGGATCGTGAGTGTGTAGTAGCATGTAGACATTCTCCTGACAGGCATCCAGTCACAAATGGCATGCTGACATGTGTGGAGTAAATTACTGCAATTTATATTTACTAAAAAAACAATAATGAAGAGCTGGATGAGATACAATTATAAATCCAGGTAAGAACATATGAAAACTAAAAATGGAACTAAAACATGGCAACACAGCAACTAATGACTATGATTTCAATGATGAGAAGCTGGGAGGGGATGATGATGGTGAAAACAAAACAAAAAGAAATAAATAAAGAGGAGGATGTTAGTTGGAGCAACATACACATAACCAATGAGCTCAGAGAAGGGCTGCTTGTAGAAGTCTTCATCCAGCACCCTGGACAAACATCCGCCCAAACGACAGAGCAGCAAGAAGGCAGGAGAGAAGAGAGACAGTGGTAAAAGGGAGAATAGGATGGAAAGACAAGCATTATAGGTTACGACATAATAATACGCTCAGGCATATAATCAAAGGCCAGGGTCTCTGGATGGATTCATTGCAGCATCAGGGTGGGCTCGAAGGATCAGGGAGGATCTGATTTAAAATCTATAATTATACAGTAGTGGTGATTCACAAAACATCAGCTCCTCACATGTATAAGTAATTATTTATGTGCATGAAAGAATTCAAAACAGTATCAATTTTAACTCTTCCCCTCTGAATGTATTCCTCAATTATTAATGAATTGTTATGACCTGTGTTGTTGAAAGTACAGGTAATGAATCCATAACACCAAAATTTGTGATAATCACAGTTTTTATTGTGAGGGAACTAATTTGCTAATTTGTGATTCATTTAATTTTAACTGAATACTTTTATGGATATATTTTGACTAAAATATAATTGTAATACATGCATTTGATTTCTGGTAAATTAGTTGGAAATAATATGTCTCCTATTATTATTAACAATAAAATATGATTAGTTCAGAAAACAAGAAACTGTTTAAAATAATTGTAGGTTGCAGCACCAATTCAGTAGAATGTTTGTATTTGTAGAATTCTTTGGCATTTGTATGAGAAGTTATTGAAGTTGAAACCATCCATAATGTAATGTTATAGAGCAGAAATAGTTTACCAACAACAAAGAAACAGGGTTGCCACATGAGTAGGAAGCCATCGCTGCTGATGCTGCATTATTAATAAGGCAGCAGGGATACATTACAGTGAAGCAGAAACTGACTTAGCTGCCACTTCAACTCGTAAAAACAATGAGATACCTGGAGGCCGGTGGAGGAGACGAATACACCAGCCAACATTTAGTCCTTTAGTAGTAATACATGTTGACAACAATTAGAGACCTCAACATGAAATCCTACACTATGACTGTTAATATAATGTTTTTGGCTCATCTACTGTTGCTTCTTAGAAAAAACCCTGAAGAAAAAAAACTTTCAAGTGATTGGTCACAAATAGGGTTTGGGCTGATGATGGATAGGTGCATTAATGTGCTAGAACAATAGCACACCGCCCTATCTGCAAACTCAGGCAAAGGTGGATGCATTTATTTTTCCGAGAAAGCCTACACAAAGACAAACCCTGGTGTTCAATTAGAAGCTCACACACTGCTAAACCCAAATCTTCTGCTATTATTAAGAACCACTGATTACTTTTAGAAAATATTCACATATTTTCAAGATTGTGAGCTGTTCAAAACCGCTATATCATCATCTTGAATTTTCTAACAGTAATGTTAACCTGCCCTCAGTTCCATTAATCTTCTGTCCTTTTCCTATCCGTCTATGGCGCCAGTACCTGTTGTTGGTTTTGGTTTTCTCCAGCTGCTCGTTCTGCCTGGCATGCCACTCCTCCAGCTCCACTTTGGCCTTGTCTTTCCACTCCGACTCCTGCTTGCGAGAGTTGTCGTCTGGGGAGGGGGATGAGCGAGGAGAGGGACAATAAAGAAGTGAAGAGCAGATGTGAGGGTAAAGACAACAGGCAGCAATAACAGGGCAGGAGCCAAGGGAGAAAAAATAGAGCTTACAAGAGAAAGAGTATAGACTATAGATCTATATTGAATCTCCACAATATTGGGCCACAATATTACACTAACCGCTTCATGTTTCAGAGAGCAGGTTCAGCCCTGTTCTCCTCACTCTGGTCTGTGCTTACCTAGCAGCTCCAGCCTCTCGCTTTGCTCCTCCCTCCACTTTCTTAGGCTTTCAGGTTCTGCCTGCAGCCGGTCTGCATTGGAAATTGCTGCATAAGCATCTGATGGGCCATTGCTTTCCTGAGAAACAATGAAAGGGATGATAGGAATCCATTTTCTTAACGATATCACATATTTAAGAAACAGTACATTGTTCTGAATTATTCAATAATTCACCCTTCAAACTCAACTAAAAGAGAGAAGTCATTTTGACACATGGACTGTGGTCAGTTTCTTGTCTTAACTCCAATATGCACAGTTTGTATGCTTGTTTGCTTTATAATGAACCAAATCTTAGTCACTTGGGAGTTTTATCAGCTTAGTTTCTTTCACAGAAAAACATCATGACAGTGCAAAAGCAATGTTGCAATGACAGCACAGGAAAAGGATGTTGGAGCAAATCTAACAACCACATATTCAAGTATTTAGAGTGATACTAAAATCACACTGCCACAGTACTAAAAGTATTTCCCAAACCTCTACATAAGTACTACACACATTCTTTATACATTATATATTTTAGTTTCACTTTGACCTGACATAGAACTTGATGTAGTTGTGCTTGCTTGCATTTTTTTCCAGTGCTATAAATCTATGGGTTTTACTGATGTTTTAGATATAATAACTTTCAGATCAGATCTGTCTCAACTGTTGGCTCACTAAAAACCTGTCCAATCACTTCCCTGCTTCACCCGGTAGAAGTCAAAGTTAATGTTTAGCCTGTGCTTGTAATTGTTTGATTAGACGACAGATATTTGTTTTATTTCAACTTCCAGGTAAGAGAGGCAGGTTTCTCTCAATTTGTTAGGTGAGTGATAGACAAAAACAGGAGTGGGAATCGATATTTACTCTTGACCGTCACCTCACGTTTCCCCAAAAGTATTCACATTTTGTTCTGAACGTGTCAAAGTAAGGATCCTGCTTATTAGCATCTTTTTCTTGGACAATAGTTGCTTGCTACTACAGTGTTATAATAACCAATAAAGATGAGATTGTCAGGATTCAGTAGAGACAAAAACACACAGCTCCGGAGAGACTGCAAGAAAGGGCCATATTATTTTAGAAGTCAAAATATCTGTATACAAATATAACTAACACATGAAAGATGTGTGTGCGTGATGAGCACAGATGGGCTGCTGTCAGAGTGTTCCCTAATCACAAACATACAGGATACAGAACTTGACATTTATCAGCAAACTTATTGAGAACAGAAACAAAGTAAGGACAGTTTTACCCCATGTAGATCTCCATTGATGGCACCATCTGAAAAGAACACATGGGAAATTGAAGTGAGAAATCAAGCAGACAAATGAAAAAACACAAACATGGAAAGAAAAGGAAAACATTATGATGACTAGACCTCGGCTTACTGCCCCCAAGTCTTGCTGAATCCTCACATTTTTAACACACACGTATTTCGTAATATCATGTGTCAGCACATCTGACACAACGCAGCTGCAGCCTTCAGGAAACGAGGCAGTCGTGGCCAAAGGTGATTAAGCTCCAGTTTCCTCATGAGACCGAGGTTAGACCCACAGTCTATGGGTGAGAGCCAGCTACACGTAGCGCTGTCAGAGAGGAGCTGTGATGAATGACACGACCGACGCACAGCTTCATTCATTTCACAGACGAGAGCTGAAGCTGGGATAATCACGTAAACCCACCAATGAACAAGTCAGAGTTTCCCCTTCACGTGTTTGTGTTTCTTTGACATTTTACATGACGTGTACACTGGCTAATCTTAACGCTAGCTTCTCCCACCTAGCTAAATTGCTAGCTCAGCTAACGCTAACAAGCTAGCCAAAAGACTCGAGTGTCCGTTCAGGACCAAATTAACATTTAAAGTGAAGTTATTGTTTAGTGGCGAGCACAGCCCCTCAGTTTAAAGCTAGGCTAACTAACCCCGCTGTGGAGAAGCTAACTGTCTCCGTCACCCACCAATAGACTCTCCCAGCGACGAGGGGACATCTCCGCTGTCCAGGATACTGAAGCCTTCGTCGTTTTCGATCCCGGCGATCTCGCTCTCCTGCTGGGCCAAGAAGGCGGCGGCGGGGTCCTCCTCCGAACCGACACCGTTACCGGCGGCGGGGGCGTTAAGCATGTCGAAATCATCCATGTTGAGCGAGGATAGACGCGAGACACGGGGAGCGGCAGGTGGAAGCAGCGGACCGACAGAGATTAGCTCAACGGGAAGGACGAGGGGAAAACACACAGCTAAGAGCTAGCGAAGCGGAAACGGGTGAGCGACCAATCACAAACCAGGATGGGTGAGTGATAGCGGAAGCCACCAATCGCACAGCAGCTGCTTCAAAATTGGACCAATCAAATTTTTGAACCCTTCTGCATACGGGTCCCGTGACGCGCTGCGTGATGTTAGACTTGTGAGAGAAATCCGCATTCTGCAAATAGGCGAGATTCACTGCTACGTGGTTATTGTGATCACTGTCAGAGCTTTGTTTTATTTCTGGTCTCAAAGGTTCTGTGATCAAATAAACTTAAACTATGATGTCATCTGAATGTGTGCTTGGTATGCATACTTGCTACAGGTATGGATTTCCCCTCGTAGAAAAATGACATAATGTGTCACTTGGGGTTGTTGTGTTGGTCTAAAGTGTCATTCATGTTACAGTTGTGTTGTTGTGGTGGTAGAGGCTGTAGCAGGCTCTCTTGAGTGTGTTTCTCAGTCTCTGCCTTTACAAGCCTTTCAGGACCCGAAGCCAAGATTATGGTTAATTATTAACAACTGTCACAGTCTCAAAGAGCTCAGGTGTCAGGTAGACACTCACCTGACCCGGAGCTGAGAGCAACCACAGTCACACAGTCACAGTGTGATTCTGCAAATACAACAAGCAGGACTCAGCACTACGGTGTTTCTCAGCACGATTGGAAAAGTAGACACTATTTTTGCCCTTAAATTCAAACACCTATGATGTTGTTGAACATAATAAACACAAAGAGCAAGAAGCATCCAGTTGTTGTTCTTGCTGTTAATGTAACAGAGGTCACTGCATTTGCTCATTGTGCGACAAAGAAAAAAATATGTGTCCACTTGTCAGTTAGAACATCTTACATATTCATTAACTAAGTTTTCTTTGTGTTGGGACGTAAATGGTGATCAATGGCAACACATTTCCATGGATGTTAAAATCAGCATAAAATAATTGATGGGAATGAATTATTAAAAAGACAGAAAGATAAAGATTGATGAAAAAAATCCATTACTTTTTTTATGTTAAGTTTTTATGATGGCTGTAATTTAGGATAAAGTTGAATCACAGCAACAAAATTGGAATGGCTCTCGATAGAGCGCATATCTCCGTCAAGGCCCAAGAAACCTCTTTAAGTCACACAATCACACTTAAACATATCAGTCACCAAAATATATCTGATGAGATAGTTTTCAGCAGAATCCATGTAATATTCCCTGGGAAATATCAAAGAAAGTGAAAACAATGTCAGTCCTTTGTCCAGATCTGTGTCAAAATTTTTATGGTTCTTTGTTAGCTCATGTACAATCCTTCCATCAAGTTTTGTGGAAATCTGTTGAGTAGTTTTTGTGTAATCCTGCTGTAAAAAAACAAACAAAAACAACCTAACAAACAGACAGAGGGAAAAATAACATCCTTGCTGAAAGCAATGAATGAACCCATGAGGAACAAACAACAAAACAGAAATTGCTGCACAACATTACATAATTAGTAATAATTAGTAGAGTGTCACACACTAAGTTTTAAAGGCTCAAATTATAGCAGACAAACTTAAAGCACAGCAGGACATTACCTTGACTGGAAGATCCAGGTGTAAAAGGGACAAAAATGTGACTGGCTATTTTGGTCAATTTCAAATATCCAGATTTTTAACATTATGCACTAAGAAACATTGCAGGCACTGTTGCAAAGATAAAACAACTTCTGGCGATAGCAGCATGGCTTTCCTCTACTGGATCCCAGAAACACATCACCCCTCTATAATCTTCCCTTTCTTTGACATAAAATCGTATTTGAATTGACACTTATTTGTTCTTATTTACCAGTAAAAAATGCATTTTACACAAATATGTAAAGGCTGTAAATGCTCCATACAACTCAAGGTTACATAAAATCCTAAAATCCCAAAAGATGACAACAACATCTCAAACCTTAAGCAATATTGAAATATTTATTTAGATCAACAGAAATTAAATTACATAGAAATGTACCAAAAAAAATAATTAAGCATGACATGTAGAATACAGTTTATAATGGCACATGCAAACCTCATAACCAGAGATACAATATATCTCAGAGAGGCATAAAATATACTTAAAATCTTCATAAGTCTGTGATTATGTAATGTAAAAAAAAATTGGACCTGATTCAGGCAAATGACCCACACAGATATAAGTGATAATGCACATTTGCTGCCTAAACATTTCATTAATATGAGCCAGCATAGTATTTATACTGATTTTATAATGACCAGGTATTGCATCTTAGACCACCGACTGAACTAACCTTCCTAAAGCACATGTGTTTTTTAAAATAATTGAAATACAGACAGGAAATTCAAATGTGATACAGTAACTGGACAGTAACTCTTTAATCTGAAAAAGAGATAACTACTCCATACAAGTAAAGTGAGAAAGCATGTAGAGACAATAGAGAAGATGATACACATCTGAAACAAGTGTTACCATTTCTCAGCTGACCTCTCGGTGAGAAATCACATCACATGTGGGGGAGTCCTGTATTGAATGTGTCATTTTGGCTTAAAAATTAATTTGTAGTTAATTCTAGCCTTGGGGCTTTTTTGTACAGTACTTAACTCATCCAGGTTATGAACGAGCAAGACATAAAAAATGAGTATGTATAAAATGTTAGATTTTTCCTCAAGACTGACACAATTTCATTCACTCTCTAAAATGTATCCTCTATACATATATGTTTATGTATTTATCTAGGTGTTACAGGTACTACTTTCCTTTCAGTCTTGCTTTGCTTCTTTTTGGTATCGGTCCCCAGCGTATCACGACTATTTCCTTCAATATGTTCTTCTAGTTGCATAGTCTAACACCATGCTGGCAGCTCCAAGTAATGCAGGTTCCTCCAAGTCTGATGTGACAACTTTGATGCTCTGGGCAGAGAAGAGGGCTCTCTCAGCGATGATGTGCTGCACAGGAGTCACGTAGTATGAGGCCAAGACTCCAGACAGAATCACCAGTGAGGGGTTCACTATGTGGAGGATGTTGACAATGCCCACGCCGAGAGCTGTGCAGGCTGGACAGGGAGAGGAGAGGACATTGTTTTAAGCTGATTTTATGACCAGCAGGCTAGGTATTATTGACTTCACTATGCTCCACTATGAATGCAGTGAGTCACTGTCAAACACATCTCTAGGCTATGTTTGCAGACTGCGCGAAAGAAAGGTTTGTTTGAACCCTCTCACAGTTAAATAAAACGTATTTTGTACTTTGATCTCTTTAAACAATATTGAGAGTATATGTGCATATGTGTGTGTCTGATTTGTGCTCTTACCTCTGTTCAGGACAGCGTTGGCTTTGGAGTTCCCCAGTTTGGCTGCGCTGATGAGGTGGGCAGCTGTGACATGCTCAGAAAGTTTCATCTCCATCCCCTCCACCTTCAGCAGGTCCTCTGAGAGACAGCGACACTCAATTCAGGCGCTACACAGCCTCAAGTATGTGAATGATATTGCCTGTCCAGCCCTTTGGAACAGGTGTGGTCACAAACTATATTTACTTTATCAGCCTCAACCACTTTACCTTGCTGTTTTTATTAAGTTAAGTTATAATCTAAGACCTTTTTAGCAACACAACAATGATAATGATGTTAATTATATGATGCAGAAACAATCGTCATTATCTACTTTGTCTAATTTCAAGCAGTTCAGCAGTTCTGAACTCTTTAAAAACATTCAGTCTTACATGCTCAAGCCTCTTTATTTTGATAATGCATGTCACTTGAGGGTTAACACAACTTAAACATTTTCAGGGTGTGACATTTTCCTTGAGGGTTTATAAACACTAAAAGCAAACACTTACCGTCGTGCAGCCTCTTGGCCTCTCTCTGCAGGGCCTGGCCGGACGCATAAGCCTCAATGCATCCATGGCTGCCACATGAACACTCTGGGCCTTCTAAGGAAACCATGATGTGGCCCAGCTCTGCGGCACAGAAGGAGCTGCCATGGACCAGCTCACTGTTATGGATGATTCCGCCTCCAATACCTACAGACACAGTCATGATATTTACTTCCTCACACTGTCAGTGCTGGTAAGTAGTAGATCTAGTTTATAAAAGGAAATCAGTACAAAACAGCATCCCAGATTTACCATTTTTATCTGTTTGCACATTGTGTTCACACAACAAGCTTCTTTGAATAATGTCTTAAAAAGGTGGGGGTTTACAGAGCATGTGTGAAAGTAGCCTCTGCCTCTGTCTGGGTAACAGACTCCTGCTCCAGCTTTCTGTCTCTCACTCAAGAGAGTTGATGCAGAGGTGTAACTCTCACTTGTATAGCAGCACTGTCAAATCTCTTCTATGGAAAGTAGTTAAGGTTTGTCCAAAATTTTGCAAAAAACGGTTGGATTCTGGAAACTGTTTTCATTTTGAAAGTGCAACAGCTGCAGGGAAAGTCGTCGAGCTGCCCAGAGGTATAACTTCAGTTGGTCTCAAATCAACAACTCACTCTCTGAGATTCCAAAAGTAACATAACTGGATCAAGCCCTGCCTCCTCACCTGTTCCAGTGATGATCGTCACAAAGTCCTCCACTCCTTTGCCATGACCAAATTTCCTCTCGGCCAATGCAGCGCAGTTGCCGTCGTTGTCGACCCAGACAGGGAGGTGCAGGGCATCAGAGATGGGTGTTCTCAGGTTAACCGAGGACCATTCTGGGACCAGCTTTGTTGAATGCAAGACCACACCTTCCTGTGGGTTTACACGTCCACCTGTTGACACTCCTGAGAAGTGGAAAACCCATTTTAACAAAACCATGAGATTATTCCTTAAAAGTAGTTGTTTCAAGAAGATTTTTCATTATGGAGTGTTTTCATAATCATGTGTGTTGAGTTGGATGATTTTATGGTTTGGCAGGTTCGGTTCAGAGAAGCAGCTTCAACAGGTTTTATTTTGTATGAACTGGCTAAACTGACAAAGGTAGCTTACATCAGGGTCATGGTATTACATTAGTATTAAGAAATATGACAACAATATTTACTGCTGAGCCAGGGCCGACAACATCAAACTTCAGCAGTGGGAGGGGGGAAGTGTCTCTTCAGGAAAGTTAATTTGCTTTTTGTTTTTAGAGTCACAACAAGAAGATTTAAAGTGGATCAATTTAAATAATTATTGTCTTGTTTGAGTAATAAAAACACAATAGTTACCACTTTCCTCACTGCTCTTCTTATTGTTTGACAAACCTACTACTGATACTTTACTGCCACCAAGTGGACTGGAGCTGCTACACTCTCATTCATTGACTTCCAGTAATATTCCATTCAAGGAATGTCTGCCAAAACAAGTATGACACCTTGTGATAAACATTTTTCAAAATGGCCCAACCCCAGTGAGAGTTAACATACCAACGCCTAATATTCTGCAGTTGAGGCTCACAGCGTCCCGCATGGCATCAAAGCACATCTTTAATATGAGTTGCATTCTGGCCTCAAAGGTCTTTGGATTGGGCTGAGAGTACTTCTTTACTATGTTACCCTGGACAGAGAGGGAAGGAGTGAATTCGACACACCATCATGGAAAAAAGACACAATAAAAATAAAGCATCTCAAATTCAAACACACATATGGTTATAGTGGACAGTGAATTATTAATCAATTAAATACATTTACACAAATCAAAAGAAAGACTAATAGCAAAGTGAAACTAATATCTTCATGATAAAGACTTAAGGCCCGTAGAATCCAGCTACATTAAAACTAATGCACCAGTATGTCTCTCCAGGTACGAGTCTATGCAGCCAACCTTCCTGCAGATGATAGCCACTCTGAGGTTGGTCCCTCCCAGGTCAACGGAAAGAGCGCTCTGTGTCTCCAGGATGTGATCGATGTCTTGGGAGATGGAGTCTTTCACTGACGGGAAGCAGAAGGTCTTCTGGAGTGGCTCGTCCAGGTCAATGCTTCGCAGGAATTTGAGAATACGAGGCACGGCATTGCCATCGCCATAAATCTTAGAGCTGAAGGGAAAGAAAAAAATACTTGTGTTGACATCACTGTGAGGTGAACATATGGTAATGTAACAGTTATATATAATAGTTATAAAGGTTTATGTGAGGTAAAGCATCTCAGAATTAAGAAAACCTGATCCACACAGAAATCAGAAAGCCTATTTCTAGTTTAGCAAAACTAAAAGACAGAGGTCTGCAGAGGAAAGCAGAAACAACTAAAAACACACACAGCGATGGTACACCCGCACTGCATTATTTATATATTTTCCAATAATATCACTCATGTAAGCAACAGTGTGGGTGACGGTATTCTGGCTGTGCACAAATGAACACATTTTCCGGGTTTGAGAGAAAGCAGCAACGTCTCTCCTTCAGATGAACATTTATTTCCAAACATCTTTGAAAGAAAGCAGATCACGTGACGGGGATCGACCATCAGAGTTTCTGATACTGAGTAAAAGATGCGCTGCTCTCATCTAGCTGACAGAACTTCACATTTGACCAAACAAACAGGCACTAACATAAATGCTAGGGTGTAGCATATGAGGTGGGTACACCTGCCCGTTCACAAGCTAATAGCCTGCTAATTATTACATGAGGTTCTAAACAATATCATCTTGACAACCAGTGTCATAGTACAATGAAACTATTGCCAAACGAACCTGCCAGACGAGGTCACTACTCTCTAGGTAAGTTCCAGCAGGGAATTTTATACAACTTATATGTGAGGTAAATTACTATCGATGAAGAACATGTGTGAATATGAACAAGTATGTATATGCTCTGTTCAAAATTTCCCATTCTAAGACATAAGGCAAAAAAGTCCTAGTTCATTCCAAATTAGATAAGAACGTCCTGATTTCTCTCTGTGACAGTCAGACAGGGTGCTAATCAAAATACACCCAACTGTTACTGTGTAGCGTGGGTGTAACAACTACATTTGGCCAACTCTAAGAGGAACACCTGTGCTTCGTATTTGTTGTAGTGAGCAGTTTCAAATGATGCCATGAAGTCATGAAAAATTGGATGACTTAACCTGAATAATATCCAGAAGGAAAGTCTATCAATATTTGTAGAAAAGCAGATCTGCAAGAGAGAAACTGAACAACCAAGACAGAGACCTAGTGAGACAGACAAGCAGGACATTGGTCATACCAGGGGTATCTCTTCCCAAACTGCAGCTCCAGAGCATGGTAGATCTTGTTGTGAGTATCAGCATCTCTGACATGTAGAACATTTTCACCTGGCAGAGGGAAATGTCATAAACACAGCCGTTAGGATGAACAGAATGATGGTCGCTTTGGGTTGCTTATATGAGGAAATTGATTTTGAAACCTTGGCAGTATCTTTGTCTTCAAGCTGCCATAATCATTTACTATTCATCAAAAGAAATTACCTGTCTGATGATGAAATCAGCTCTCCAACAACACCAGGATTAGCTTAATTAAGAGAATAAACAGTAATCTTGGGTTTTGTCTTTCTCACCAGTCTCTCTGCCAGTCTGCCTGGTTCCAAGGTTAATGACGGGGGTGCCAAAGGCCCCAGCCTCTCGCACGCCACAGCTGCTGTTTCCGATCATGCAGCCGGCGTGGCACACCAGCTGGATGAACTGCTCGAAGGGAATGTGCTTCACCGCACGAAAGTTGGGGTGCTGCTCAATGCCCTTTTTCCGCATCACACGCACCATCTCCTTACTGCCTGTTTACGTAGGAAAGGAAAGATCAAGAGATATTTATCATGCAGCTATTCAGAAATGTTAGTAAATCATACAGTAACCCTGGTGATAGGAGACGAGGAGGTGAAGCTAACCGGCATCGATGTTAGGGAAGAGGATGAGGGTCTTCTTGTTAAAGGAGAGGAGGGCATCCAGCATCAGTCCATAGATCTTTATGGAGTGCTGGATGTCTGTCGTGACTGGGTGCTGCAAAGCCACGACATAATCATGCCTCTGCACCTTGTCACCTGCAACAAGAGCACACCACATGTCACATACAAACACACACCCAAATGTTTAACGCTACATTACTGTGTAATGGCTGTATCCCTGCGTACCCAGCCAGCTCTTGATAATATCCATGTAGTCGTCTTTGTGATTAGTTGACAGCAGCTTATCATAAGAAGGGCAGCCAGCCAGCAAGATGCGAGAATGGTCCTCACACATGGCAATGAGGTACTGCTCTGCCCGAGGTGTGCAGCAGGCGTGGTAATGGGACAGTTTACTAATAGCATGGCGGATCAAGTCATCAATCGTACCACTCACCTGCGGAAAGAAGCCAGACCACGTGTTAAGATATAGTGTAAGTTATTAGATCTATTCTGTTGCTCAAAACAGAAGCCTCCTCACCTCTCCACCCTCCAAGTGAAGTATTCTAATGTTCATCAGTGCTGCAGCAGTCGCCAGGGCAAGTGCATCAAAACGGTCACCGTGGACGATCAGGATGTCAGGGCATAGCCGCTGCAGGACATCAGGGAGTTTCACCAGTGCCAGCCCGACGCTCTCCACCATGGCTGCCTCATCCTCTCCTCTCACGATGGTGTGGAGCTTAGAGCCGATGTCAAAGTCATCCTGCTCGATCATGCGAAAAGTGTTCCTGTGGAGTGGAAAGTAAGAAAACAAGACAAAGTGACAAATGAATGCTGGATAAATAAACCTGACTGAATAACTGTTGGACTGATTCATTCAAAATTTCACTGTTTAAGGACATGTGCAACAAGCTTTTTCAAAGGATGCTGTTGTGATGGTCGTTCTTACCCATAGTCATCGATGAGATGCGAACCAAGCACCACGACTTCCAGGTCAAACTCCTCAGGCTGTGATTTGATGCCAAACATGATGGGGGCCAGCTTGGAGTAGTCTGCACGGTTGCATGTTGCCACACACACTCTCAACCTCCTCTTCGACTACAGTCAAAAGAGGTGAAACCAACAAAATCATCCAGACACCATTTAATTTGATTTTAGACTTATTACACGTAAAAACCCACTCCACATCACAACTAGAGGCCCTACAAAAATACAAATAATACTCTACCTGACGTCTGCAGGACTATTATCACCTCTACACATCCCTCTACATCAGCAACAGAAAAAGGCTTTTTATATGTATATTATATGTATTTCCTGACATACCTGATTCTGATCGGTCATTTTTTCTCTCTCCATAAATAGACTGTGTGTTCTCCGAGAATAGAGCTCCTGCAAAACAAAGACAGAAGAGAGATTGAGATGAATCCAGCAAACAGATTTTAAAGCATAATGTGATTTATTATTTTGCAGTCAAAACCCCCCCACAGGTCATACTTACTCTGGCCTTCCAGATATTGAGATGCTGTAGCATGAAAACACAACAAAACTATGCTAAAAATGTTTTGTATTTTTTCATAAGCAACACTTATTTTTCCAGGGGAGAGAAACATGCTGTAGGAAATCGCTTTGCATGGAAAGGCAACAGTCATACCGGCACTCTCTGGTGAAATGAACAAAACTGGCTGGGAGGAGGGGTTCTTTAATACATTACTACTACCAAAATACTATTATTGACTATTACTTTAATACTAATTGATTGGATTAATTCGTTTACTAACCAGAAACTGGACAAATTGATGTTGATGTACATGTGCCAGAGTTTTAGATAGATGTTATGTTGCACCCTAGACAGGTCATTCAAAACCCATTCATGCTCACATTCAATTTAGAGTCTCCAGTTAACCTAACCCTAATCTGCATGTCTTTGGACTGTGGGAGAAAGCCTACGCAGACACAGGGATAACATGCAAACTCCACACAAAAGACCCCTTCAAATCTGGGATTCAAACAAAGAACCTATTTGCTTTGAGGCAACAGTGCAAACCACAGCACGACCATGAGGCAGACAAGACAACAAATTTGTCTTTGTTTTCAAACTAAATATGAATCAACTACCAATTTTTAATTATTTTTCAAAAAAAAACACATTGTTAACATTTAGCTGTGTGGATCCTCTGATTCTTCTCCTTCAGCCATTTGTCTTATGTTGTCATGTGGACAAATACTTTTGGCCAAATTGGGGGACTGCTTTACATACTAAGAGTACCATTTGCATATAGCTTTGAATGTAGGAAGGTATCAGCTCATCGTCTTCATTTCTCTGTGCTCATTGGCTGATAAGATTCAAAGCTTGACAGTGCTCCTACTGTTGGCAAAGATGCATATGCCTGGCATATTTGTGTCAGTCCATTTGAATTGAACTGTCCCGCCCTTATTCTTGTCCCATACTTGGGCTGACTACAGCCTCCTGAGGGTTAACATGGAATCAGTAAGTTGTCTGACACGAATCTGTGGCACTATTGTGATTTTAGCTGATGACTTTACACAGGAGACCATGCGGCAGCAACACAGTTTACAGTTTCAGTCGCATATTGACTTCTTATTGTATGAAACGCATGTGCCGCACATGATGGATCTGCTCTCTGCTCACAGTAAGCTGTTTTAACAGCAGGTGTTTCACATTCATTGCCTGGACTGTGGATCTAATTATCTCTAGACTGTGGGCTGATTTAGTCTAATTTGTCCCATTACAGTTTCATTAGTGGTTCCTTTTACATAATAACATAAGGTAAGTTTGCGCTTAGTCTTTTTCTACCATTGCTTCAATGTAGAACTTAATGTGGCGCTCTTTGCTATGCACTTTCAACCTCTCTCTCTCAGCCTTACTCTTTATCTTTCCCCCCATCATTCTCTCTCCCTCTTTCTCAAACACAGCGACCCCATTGCACCACATGCATTTATGTTTATGGGTTTAATAAGCGCCTCATCTGTGTCCCACTCAGCTGAGAATTTCTCAGTTCTCAGTGATGATGGTTCCATCACAAATACATGCTGCCCTCTGCTGCTGTTAATGCATTATGACAGTTGCCTTTACCCAGTTAAGTATTGAAAGTCAGCTTCTTAAATACTTTTTCGAGGCAGTGTGGTGAACTGCAGGGGCCTCAAATTCCTGAGTGGATTGACTGCTTGGAATTTTTAAAAAAACCTGGGGTTTGATTGAGTTACTGACTGCGCTCAGTTTTACTCCTCTACACTTCTGGGAACTGAAGAGAAACGGAGAGTTCACTGACATGAGAATGAACCAACATAAAGTTCAGAAGAAAAACAGGGATCCTACTGTGGTACAAATATTAAATTCCATGTTGTTTTCATTTCCTAGTAGACTAGTGTCAGTGGAATCAATAGTAAAGATAGAATCAAAGCCTGCTGTGTATGGACACTTTGTACGGCTGTAATGGTATCAAACTGAGCTTCCCACGCAGAGGAGCAAAATCAAATAATATGGGGCTAAGTATACTCACAAAGATAGAAAACCCAAATAAAGTGGTCTCTTCATCAGAGAGGACATCTCAACTCACACTAACATATTTTAAAGGCCTGTGCTACATCAAGTGACTTCTGCTGCACAGAGAATGCTGCCATAAGGTTCAAAAAGCAACACATGAATGCAGTATAGCCTTCCTACACTCCAAGGTAAAGACGACATCAAATCTACAATAAAGTACATTTTACTTTCACACATACAAGTTGTGATGAAGACTGTGTGTCTTCATTGCAACAGGTTGCAAAAGAGGAACTACTTATCTTCTGACTTTACTAACGATAACGCTCAACACAGCTGAATACTTTCTCATACTTGCTCAGATCCCTGCTTAGATTAGAGTGTGTCTCCAATGTCTTGGGCTAGTGATCCACTGAAAATAGTTCATGCGGTGTCATACAGATAACAATCAACGAATCAGGTTTGTGAGGGTTGATCAAATATTGTTACGGGCAAGGATCCCAGTCTCAGTGCACGTATGCAGCACACTCTCAAGGTGACAGGGACACAGATAATAAAAACTTTATGTTTTTGACGTTCCACCTCCCAACCTATTTTACCCCATTACCCATTTGAAAAAAAGAAAACTATAGAAAGGGAAGGAAATATTGTGGGTGTCAATTTTGATAAATATGGCAGGTCGCCACAAATAAACCAGTGCAAAGGAAACACAATATTTTTCTAAAATAATCACTTTTGAGGATACATGTCTTTTTAATATGATCCTATCAGATATTGTATTCTCTCTAAAACAGACAGACATATGTTTAGCGTTCAGCTACTAAAGTCATTTAATTTTACAGTTTATTTGTATGAAGGGACGACATTATTTCTCCAACAAGAGATGACGCTGACATTGACAAACAGTCAGACAAATCGTTCAACAGAAGAGAGCCACCATTTAAGACTTCTTTCATTGTAACCAGATGAAATATATTATTTATTTAAAATTGGAAACACGAGAAACTGTAAAAATGTTGGTGACATATGCACAATGTACTTAGCCTAGTTATTATCTGTGTGCGAGGCCTGCCTCTCTAATTTAATTTATTTTAATTAATTCCTTGAATTATTTTCCCTCAGGAAGTGCAACTGTTCAGTTTTAAATTTTTAGTCCACATTTTAACAGGAAGATCAGAACAGTATTTAGATCAAGTAATTTTAAATTTTAAACCTACTTTGAATGTAGGGTACCAGACCTCAGAAAGATATAGCATAACAGAGTGAATGTCCATCATATTAGTTTGGCAAAATCAAGACTAATTCTTTTCTGCCTTTCTTTAACATTCATGTATCAGCTTACACACAAATAAACCCTTCTTGGACTAAGTCCTGTGATTTAGCCTGCATCTCATTCAGCACACCATGGCTTCCACTCAAGCATCACAAGACAGTATCAGCAGCCGGCATCATGGTATGGGGGTAGGTACGCATGCAAAAAGCAAAGGCAGGGATGACACAGCAATAGAGGCAGAGATACTGAATATAAAGAATAAAAATTAGAAGTAATACAAGATACTGAGAAAGACACAGAGGACAAAGACAGAGAATATGATAGATGGAAGAGAAAAAAAGGCTATCTGACTCACATGAGGGTTGGTGCACAACGAACCCAGAGGATTTTCCATTGCACACGTCTTTGGATTCATTTTACTTCAATAGCCATTTCTTTTTGAAATGTCTCTCTTTTGTCTAGCCGCATTAGTCAACAAAAGGAGGGCATGTACGAGCCATCAAGCAGCACAGAAGGGAGGGAGGGAGGAAGAGAAGGAGGGCGGGTGAAACAGACATACAATTGGGGGAGGCGCTGCATGAGATCCGGGAGGGGCTGTTTGGCTCAAAGACAGGGTTGGCTCAATGGATGGAAAAAACAGATGTGGCACCCTGCCAGACATGCAGGACTCTTTACCATCATATCATATACAGCCCTCATAAATATATAAAGGAAACAGAGGGTTTCTTTCATGTGTATGTGAAGGAACGCCTCAAAGAGTTGCACAAGAATGACATCAAACTAGATTTTTACAATCAAAAAAGCCCACATTCATAGCATGACAACCTCTTTATATATAGTCTATGATGACAAAGCTATCTCCATTCAATGATAACATTCTGTAGTCTGCATGTTTTCACGTTATTAGTCACAAAAGTCTCCATCTCCACTGAAAAGTATTTTTACTTGTCCACCTTGATCATAGGTCAGAGTTCAAATTAAAACAAATTGGTAAATAACAAACATGATGCAGCCTATTGCGTCAACCACATCTGATTCTTAGGAATATTCATTAAATCAATAGTGTCCTCTGTTTATTCAAGAAGTTCAGGGACCTTATGGCTTCTGCTTTCCCCCATTTATCTTCAGAGTTCAAGGTAACTTTGTAAAATCCTCTTCCTCTAATTGTTTAATAATTTATTTTTACAAAACTATTCTGGGCAACCTATTTATCCTCATTAAACTGTAATTATGGAAGTCATAATCTTTTATTTATGGACACTTTTTATTGTTTGTTTTCCTGAAGTCGGGACTGACTTGGGATGGAAAGCTTTTAGGTTTTGGACACCTTATGACTATAATAACTGATTTTCAGCTTCAAAGTTACGTTGAACCAGTTAATTTAATCTCTTGTAAAATCTCTTGAGTCCACACCATATGTGTGCAAGTGTTTATGATCAAGTTTTAATGTTATTAATCTATGTGATTAAGGAAATGTTACAGCTTGACAAGTTAACATTGAATATGTGATATTCAAATGTTATAAGAAATTCTTAAAATTTCAACAAAGAATATTAAACTGGAGTTAGTAGCAACAATAGAAAGCTCTTAGGGTAACACTACGTGGAATTAAAGTGGTAGTTATTAATAATTAATAATCAATAAACTGTTGATTTATGAATGAATTAAATGTCACCACAATGTACTTGTTTATAAGTTAGATTGAATGTCTACTCTAGACTAGTGGAATTGAATTCAAACTTTTGGCTTGACTGAAAATTCAAGATTCAACTTATTTCTGGCATTGGCCGAAATGAAAAATAAATAATCCATAATTATGAAAAATTGCCAACTGTATTCTCCCTCACATGGAGCACCATATTGTGATTATTATACCTTAAGCATGGCAGCATACAATGGTGTGGCAGCTGGCCATGATGAAACAAATAACTTATTACCAAATATCACATCAACACAAATTAAACTTATAAACATCGATACACAGAATAGAACCAAAGTCCTTTCTTAGCCGGCTGTAATTATTAAGGTGTGTTACCAGTCCATGAACAAGGGGGAAAGGTCATTTCTATGAACAAATCACACAACTAGGCTTAATGATTACACAAGTTAATTTGTTGTTCCACTTCTTGGTTATGAGGTTAAATGTTGGTTTGATTGTACCTTTACGACAATAAATGTGTGGGCTTTGGTCTGTTGGTCTGAAAATGTCACCATGGTCTTAGTAAACCCTGAATGTCAAATTAATCAAAAATAAAGTAAGTATCATTTGGAGCAAAGTGGCAACCCACCTTGATGTCATCCATTGGTTTTGAAGCTCTAAAGTTTGGCATTGTGTCCACTACCATCTTAGGACCATTATTTAATAATGAACATGATGCTGTATTGAAAAAGACTTGAAACTAATGATTGAGACCTTAACCTCTATATGAAAATTTTAACTGATCAAGTGGGAAGTCAGGTCATTTTCTCATAATCTTAGACAGAAAGTAACTTATTATTTGCAACTAGTTGAGTCGCCCTCTGCTATTCATTCAAAAGAAAACAAGTTTCTTCCAATACCACAGCGACTTCACTTTCTGGACTCTACGTTCATTTTTATATACAGTCAATGTGCTTAATAGGCCCTACAAAGTGATTATTATCACCCGTTCTGTAAGCCTGTGTCTGATATATGGGGATGGCAGTGTGGGCATCAGAATGGAATATGAACTGAGTAAACTTTCCTCATTGTTTACACAGTTGTGACATCCTGGTTTACAATTGACAAAGATGATACCATATAAAACTAAACTAAACTCCCAGTGATTAAGCAAAAGAGCAAATATAGTAATGGGCAAAGAAACTGTGTGCTCAACCTGCCTCTTAAATTAAATTACCATTCAATTAAATGACCTACAGTATAAAGCATACATGCGCTATAATAGACTAAATGAACAAGCAGTGCTTTATTGCTCCCTCACTGCGTGCTAACCACCAAACAAAATCATAACCGTTTGCTGTCCTGGCTTCTACATGGTGGAACGAGCTCCCCATTGACACGAGGACGGCAGAAAGTCTTCACATCTTCCGCCGCAGACTAAAAACACATCTCTTCTGACTACACCTTGGTGAAGATGTCTAAAAAAAATTACAAAAAATACAAAAAATATATATATATTTCGTTGCACTCATATGGCACTTATATTGTAGCACTTTGTAGTTTGGCCTTTTTGAAGCAAATTGTACTTACTTGATTCTTGTTGTGGGTTTGTACCCTCATGGTTGATGCACTTATTGTAAGTCGCTTTGGATAAAAGTGCCAGCTAAATGTAATGTCATGTATTGAAATTGAACTGGAATGATTTTAGATTGGAGTGAGGAATGAAAGAGAGGAGGACTCATCAAAATGGTGAGCCTACCAAAATACCCCCAAACGTAGCTGTCAAAAAAAAAAATCAACAAATGCTTGACTTAGTTGACTGAGAGGACTTAAATCCTTCAAGGGGCAACACTACAACATACAAGATTGAATGACCTGTTTAACAACATGTGAGATGCAAGTACAAAGTTCTCCAAACCAAGTTATAAGAACAAGCCAACATATAATGAGTCTTTTTATATATTGCTCCTTGCTACACATCTACACATCACATCTTAACAATATCTTTATGGTATGTTACTTTACTACATACAGTCCACACCTCTCAGGTCGTCGAGGACAAATCTCTTGAGCCGCTTTCAAACATGCACAGTTTGCTTTTCCCACAACACGCCCATTTGCCTGCTGTGAATTTTCCGCACTTCTCTCTGCTTTATTCTCACACTGACATTATTCAGGTTTTACAAGAGCGCAGGTAGGAAAAACTCTGCAAAATGTCTGCAGCAACTGACTAGAACAATTGTGTTCTCAAATACAACCGCTTTGGAAAATTTCAGGAAAGTGTCAGGACTTCAGTATATGTCTGAAAGCAGCTTTACAGTTCCCAGAATCAACATTTTGCAGGAGCAGCAACAAAAGCTTTTTCTACACCACATATCAGGAACAGGCTCCAAAGAACTACAGCTCTCAGTTCTCATAAAGTAGTGCTTATAACTTTCCAATTTGACACAGATATTTATCAAATTAAGGTTTTTATGATGTCTTATCTTAAGAATCACCAGGCATAATGTCTGTTTTATGATACAGGTTAGAAAAGTATCATAAAATGAGCAGATTGCAGTTATATTTATTACATCAGGAAGTCAGATGACGTTCCTAAGGAAGCAGACATGTTGGTTTTAACTGAATGTGATGATAACATAACGTTGTAACATTAAAGGAAAAAAAGGGTTGTTTACATTATTTAGCATCTGTACAACAATAGTTAGCTAGTGGAAACGAAATGTGTTTTAATAAGTCTAAACGTCCTTGTTATTAACTTGCTTCTAAATAAGATATCTGGAGTAGATTAACCAGAACTAATATCTGTTTTATTGATCTTATGAAGTAGTAGTAGGAAGTGGGTTGCGGCATCGTAAACAGTAGACACCTCACAGAGAGACACGTGAAGATGTGCCACATCACTGTAAATGTCGTCAGATAAAGGAAGCAGACATTTTGTACATCCTAGTAGTTGGAAGTGAGGATCCACCTCATGATGGATGACACTGGATTAACTAAGAATGATGTGGAGTGTTTGTTCAGGGCGGTGTCCGATCAGCACAATACGAGCTATTGTCACAGCATTAACCAGAACAAGAGGTGCTGAGAAATAAAAGGTTTTCACTAAACTATGTGACAAGCTAACGTTGAAACAGAGGAAACAGAGACTTCCCACTGTTTAGCAGCTGGTAGTTAGCTAGCTTTAACTTCATGAATCCACTGAGTTTTAAAATGAGAGTACGTGCTTGTTATTAAGTCACGAGAGCATCTCCGTGCGTTGGAAAATGTGTTTTTAATTCAGGTTGAAGCAGTTTATGATAAACACGTTCAGTCAGCATCAGGCCGGATATGTGTGTGTCTGTGTTTCTTTTACTTTGATACTTACATTGCTTGTGTTGATGCGAGGGGCTATTTGAGCTAACATTTAGCATTTCCATGTTAAACAAAGCTCTAGCTTTAGCCCATGTTACAGTGTTATGCTAGGAGCAGCTCGTCCCGTTACAAGTGGGGCCAGGGGATTTAACCAACATGCACACAAACACACACAAACACACACAAACACACACAAACACACACAAACACACACAAACACACACAGTTGTATGGGCAGAGTTAGGGACACGTTTCCCTCACATACACACACACACACACACACAGAGTGGAAGTAGTAAAGTTAGCTAACATTAGCCGGTGAAGCCCCCCCCGGCCCCCCTCCTCACAGTCAAGTTAGCTGGAAACAGAAAGTGTCCAGCCCCTCTGATGTTATCATTTCACCGCGTGAGCATCGATTCAAACCCACCTTGGATTAGCCGGGGACAATGCGCTGTGTGCTGACACCATCGATGGCTCCACGTACCCTG